CCTTCTGCTGATCAATCTCAATTTTAAGACTATCACTGAAGGAAAAAGTATCAGGGATGGCAGCTTCAATGCTGTCACCAGCAGAACTAACGGAAGAGTTGCGCTCATCTTCCTCATATGAAAGTCTTAGCCCAGTAGATATAGGATTCGGATTCAAAATGTTTCCAGTGTGACCAGTTTCATCTTGACAAAAGTTATTGTTCAAGGATATCTAAATCTTTTGCTGCCTAGAAATGGGTTCTAGCTTTCGGGCTCTTTTAATTGAACGGTTTATAGCAGTTGCACTTTCATTGCCCTTGTAATGCAAGGGATTGACACTACAACCAATTGGAACTGTAGCATGGAAAGCAAAATTGCTTTTATAAAAAAAGTATAAGGCCCACCATAAAAGCACTATAAGATCAAGAAAATAATGCGAAAGTGACAATAATCGAATAACAAAGAGAGAAAAAGGGGCATGATTTGTAAATAGTACACAATTAACACAAGTCACACACAGTTAGGAAACAGGCGTACTGGAAGTACAACATGCTTTGCTACAAATACTTAATGGCCTAGAATGTGGTCAGGGGTTCTTTCCTTTAGCACCACCAGTTAAGTGTCAAGAACTCATGCGAGATAAAACAAACCACAAATATGTAGAATATGCCATGTCTTTAAGAATGTGATAACTTATGGAGCTCTTAAATTCCTAAAATTTTATATTTCTTTGAGCACATTGTGCAAGACACTTGTGCATCCTTGCTATAATTAAACCTACACAAGACTGCTTATTATGCCTGGCATGGATGATAATCATAAAATATTTGAGCCTTGATGTAAACAAAAAGCTTTTTCCTAGTTAGATTGGAAAGGCTACAGGGAGAAGGAATGGGGAAGGAGACACAAGCCACGAGAAAACTTTAGGAATCCCCAAGCGTGGGATGAGAGTGTTTCCTGGTCGATATCTGTCATATACTGCTTGTGAGAGGAGAATGTCAATTCACAAACCTAACCTAACAAAACACCAATGCAACTGTAATTTGAACCTGAGATTCACTTGGTGTTAAAAATTACCACTACAACTGACCATAATCAATAATCTACATCCCCATCCATCCACTCATAAAAGACAAATGAAATGCTACAAACTTACCTCATTAAAATCACATGCTTTTGACAACATTGAAATGGTTACACGTATTTTAAAAGTCATAATCACCCTAAGCCTACCCCAAACCAAAAAACCCTATTTTGTTGCCATCCTCTATTAGACACACTCTATTGCCATCCCCAATTAGATAGAGAGTGCATCAAGTCATAGCTCGTAATTGAAAATTTGGAAGAGAGTATGTTGCATTATTCAATCGTAGATCTGTACAAGTTACAACACTATTTATATGCCCTAAAAGACTAAAGTAAAAGACCAAATATTTCTCTAACACCCCAACCACCCTCAAACTCATGATGTGACAATGAGAAGCATCGAGAGTTTGTCCTCACATGTGAAGGATTGAGTGTCCAATTTGGGTTTCATGTATCAAACACATATCCTATAGTATACCCATGTCGTGTCATATTGACAGGGGTACGTGGATAAATATATGAGATTCAATGTAAGTTGTAACACGACTTAGCACTAATAAGACAAGTTCAGAAAAATGCACATATTATGACCCTCAAAAAATGGGAAACAAACCCAGCATGTAAATGAAGTAATATATAGAAGCTAAACATAGGAAAAAAGAACATGATAAAATTATAAATTTAAGAGAGTTCACAAATAAACAATAAATCACTACGAAACTCACATTCTCCAAATAACTGCAGCTGAGGCAATGTATTAGTATCATACTGTAAGCGGTTCTCCTCCAAGAAAATAGGAAATGTAGGATTGCAGTTATCAACTCCTCCAAACATATTCGTGATATCTTAATTTCACATACCCTGAAATAGACATAAGATCAACTTGAGGACTTTATTGCTAAAAGCCACATAATTGACAATTCCAGGAATATTAGACAAAATATATATATGAGAATCTGATCTGCCTTACATCCTAATGTTACTGATTAATTATATGAGTACATCAAAACCAAATTAAATATATAAAAAATAATAATAATAATAATCAAAAAATAATGCTATATGATCATCTGATCCGTTTAGCACTTAACAGTTGTCTGGAAGAGGATGATCACAATGAAAGATGGTATTCAAGCAAAGTTGAAGAGAGAGAGAGCATATAAACCTAATACTAAGAAAAATTGCTAATAAGAATAAAGCCTAGTAGTGAGAGTGTGAGCACCTGATAATGTCTCAAGTGGGATTTCTCACAAGAACCCTTTTTTGGGTTTCTTGAGTTTTGCTAGTTTTTATAAGAGTTGTTTAGTGGGTTTTATTTATTTATTTATTATTATTATTATTTTTAAAGTAATAAAATGTAAATTTACCCAAAAAGAATAAAACCCGTATTCTTATTATTGAAAAAAAAAAAAAAAAACCTTCCGTATTCTTTAAATCAAATCATAACCAAATACATAGTAAAGCAAAAGAAATTTTCCAAAAGAAAAAAATAAAAAGAAAAACCAGAAACGTAAGAGTTTATTATCTTGAAAATTTGATATACATCATGTAAATATACAAACCGTCTTCCAACAAACTAGATATAGATTAAAATATAGAGAGAGATCAATAAACAAATTGCTCCAATAAAGATAAAGCAAATAGTAATATGAGATAAATCATTTGAATCATCAATCAATCTGTCTCTCGGTATATATACAATTACATATATGTTATTACGAGGATAAATGATAAACAGTACCTCGAAATGCTGAAATTTTAGAGAGAGAAACGGAAAGGTTGAGTGTGGTTTCTAAAAGAGTGAGATCGATTCCTTAGAGAAATAGAAAAGATCTGGCGCATAGCAGTAGTTGGAGATGCTTCGGTTACGAAAACCGATTCCATTTGTTGGTGGTGGTGTGTGGGGAGGAGCCTCCAACAAATAAATCTCTGTGTCTGTGTGGCAGCTTTATTTTCGTTTTCCCACCGTAATTTGATTTCTTTATTTCGGTTACTGATGCTGTGAAATGGGAATTGACCATTCTAGCCTTATCCTTCAATTTTCCGTTCATTCCATCTCATTTGTTAATTAGGGCATTGTGGTATTTACATTTAGCTGAACTTTGAAACAATAGATTAAAAATGCAATTGAGGATTGTTTTGAAAAGCCAAAAACAACATATGTTTTTTTCGGAACACGATATTTTGTAGTCCAAATTAGGTCGAATGAGTTAGGTGTGAATGCATTAGTCAAAATTGAAAATTCACAATTTTGAAGTACAACACTAAATAAATTACTCACAGATCAACAAAAATTACAAATAAATGAGTTGAGCTTTTTAAATTAGAATTATAAATTGAGTAAAATGATCAAATTAATTTTTTTTTGGTTAAGAGAGAAAGCTTACCTCAAGTGGTATCTAATACTCTAGCCAATGCACATATATACCAAGCTTGTGTCATCCCGAATCAAATCTCATAAATAACTCAAAACTTAACTTGGTTCGGTGCATTTACAGCCCTCAATATGGTAGCTCAAATCACCAACGCTCTTCATCTTTCCTTTATCTATTATACATAGCACTTCTCCTTTCATAATTGCATCTATTTTACTTATGTTCGGTCTTCTTTATTAAAAATTTTTATTTTTATTTTTTGATAAAGTACAACAACACCCTTTAGGTTTGTCAAAAGGACACTTAAATGAAAGTTACCGTTTTTGGGACAATGACACCCCCTTAAAAAAATTCCGTCCAAACAATATCTTAAATCATATGAAAAGACAAAATTGCCCCTTACTATTAAATTTAAATTTATTGCAAAATATCAAACATGTTAAAATGACACAATTGTCCCTAAAAGTTTAGCGCCACTTGGCGCAAAATTAATATCCTGTGAATTTCCCAGAATGAAATTAATATATATATTTTTTTAACAAATGGTGATTATCAATTTTGTTATTACCATAAAAACATAATGGAAAATAACTAAATAACTAAAATAGTGAATCCAGTGTGGGCTACGCAGCCAAGTAACACCCGATAGCATCAATTAGCTCTCAAAAGACTTCATTTAGAGATTGGATAACCCGTTCAGATATAAGTAGCACCGATAGAAACCCTTTTAGATTGGTCAAACTTTCTTCTTTTTGTAAGAAATTGAAAATTTATTAAAGCAAAAGAAATATACACTTTTGTTATTTTGAGAAATTGTGGGTTATCAATTTTGTTATATATTTTGATAAATTGTGGCAGAATGAAAACAAATGGTTTTTTTTTTTTTTCATTTTACCAAAATATTTGTTATTAATTCAGGCATGGGTACTTTTGTCCAATTTTTTAATATTATATCCTTAGTACTGTGGTTGCTTGTTCATATGGAATAGTTTCGTCTAATTTATTAATCTGTAAAGTTAAAAAGGTTAACTAAATGGCGAAAGGATAATTTGGTTATTTTTTCATATAAGTTAGTTTCGAGGGGTGTCTTTTGAGTTTTTAATTTTTTTTTTTTGACAAATACTCTACCTTTTAATTTTCTAAATGTGTTATTATTTAAAAAATAGGTAACTTTCATTTGAGTTTTTATTTTTTATTTTTTGACAAATACTCCACCTTTTAATTTTTATTCACGGGCACCTTTGTTGGAAACTCAATATTTTACACCTGGGACGTGTTCCCCTGAACTTTTTTTCCCCTATTATGTAAAGTTTCCATGCACCTTCACTTACCCCATCAAAACTATCGTATAAGATAGGAGTACAAAAATACTCAGTACCGGTATCACCTCTTCAACTTTCAGTCGTTATCATCCTTCGTCTGGACGGAAAGTGCTACACGCCAAAGACAATGGCGACCACTTCGGAGTCTTCTCATCGGCGACCCGCGACACAGGTACATCTTCTCTCGTTCCTATTCTTTTTTTTTATTTTTCTCTGCTTGTTAAAATAAAAAACCCTAAAATTTTAACTATCTAAAAATCTCATTATTTATTTATTTTTCCTTCGGAAAGAGCTGTATAGAGCTGATTATGGTATGAGATGATTGCAATTGATTGATACTTTTATTAGCAAAAAGGGAAAATTGGTTGATATTTTTTTGGGCATATACTTACATTATTTTACCGAGGGTAGACAAATGCCTTGGCACTGTAGATATTACAGTGGGTGGGATTCATATGGATTCCATTCTTGCTTTATCCCATTGCTTCCTACTGAAGCTGGTACTGTAGGAACCTCAACAAGGTAAGACATGGGTTACTTCTTGCGTGTGAAGATATCTTTAATTCTTTCTTTGAGTTACATGGTAAAATAGATGTAGTTGGACTTGAGAAATGTAAATTTCTTTAACTCCCATTTGATTTTTCAAAATGATTTTATTCAAGTTACTAGTTACAATTAGCCACACAACTTTTTTATGCCACGAATCTGAGTCTGATTTTATGTACTGATTTTCAGGTTTATGTAATTTGTAAATATTAGTTGATTTCATCCCCTCCCCCGCTGAAAAAGAAATCCTGGCTCCATCCCTGGACAAACTCCTAATTTTTTCTCCCACATTGATTAGTAATTAGATCTCATTTCAACTACATCAATACATTGTTTTGGTCCTTTTAAGAAGCTCTAAAATTGCTTTCAATTTTCTCCTTGAAAGAAATGAGAAAACGGTGGCCAAGATGAGGTTAAGGATCCCTAGATTGGACCGTATGTTATTGATTTTTCAAATTTAGAATATATACCCATTCACTCATGATAGGTAGCGTGGATCTCAATTTTTTTTTTTTTTTTTTTTTTGAGGGATACTGAAGAAAGGAAAACCAAGTGGTCCATTTTTTTTTTCTTTTTTTTTGATAAGTAAGATTTTATTGAAAACGCTCAAAAGGGGAGCGGAACCCAAAGAAACACAAGGGCCAAAGGGCACCTTAGACCTTCAAAGAGGCCAAAAAAACAATAATCTCCTCTGTATATCTATAATCCCTCCTTGATACCCAACAAAAAGGAGTGGAAATAATAGAGAACTTAAGCATAGAAATAGGTTTCTTCTTTCCAAAAAAGAGTGGTCCATAAAATGAATAATGGGCATTGCCTTTACTTTGTGCCTTTTTTATATTGCACTTACATTTGCCTTTCCATTAGATAAATCTATTTGCAGACTAAGTTCTTGATAAAAGTAGTTTTAGCGTACTTAGATATTTGCTTAGTGTTGTTTTTAAACAAGTTAATCCAAAAAATCTATATAGTCTTTACTTCTTGTTTATTTGATTATATTATTGTGTACTTCTTTTTTATTCTTTTCGCAATCTTTTAATTGGTTTATGTTTGAGTAGAATTTTTTTCTCAAATCTATAGTTTGCCAAAAGACCCATTCACCCCCCTTCCCCTTGGGTCATTTTTTTTTAGGAAAATTTATTAGTGCTTAAAATTAGAAATAACTGTTTTACATTGATTTTATTCTATATTACTTGTAGGTGTAAGATCCTTTTAATCATTAAAATTTGAGATATGTGGGTCACGGATAAATGGTCAAAGAAATCTTGAAATAATTGTTGTATAGTGGTTTTTAAAATATGAAATAAAAGTAAGAATAAAAATGAAAAAAAAAAAAAAAAATTATTGAGCAATTGTAAGAATAAGTATTTTAAAAGTAATTATGGAAAAAATGTAAAAATTTGTGGGCAAAATTGCAATTATAACTTTTTAAACTTATTAAAGAAATGTTAGGGCAACCAACTTTTATTATTTCTTTCTCTTCTTCGTTTTCATTTACTATTGCGCCAAGTATGAGGGATAAAACCCTAGCCCTAATTTCTTATTTGATAGCCAGAAAGGCATTATGGCAACCATTTTCAACCTCGACCAATATGATTTTCGAGTGGAGGACGTTCAACAAAGCATGTTTTGGCTCTTGTAGTGATTAATCACTACAGATAGGTTAATATTTCTTTAATTCTTCTGTATCTTCCCTTCTTCATGAACTTTTTCTTTCGCTGTGGTCTTGTTTAGTTCATTCTTCCTTCTATTTATTATTTAGATTTGTACCCTTTTTTGTTGGAGCCTTTGGAAAGAGCGGAATAGAAGATCTTTTGATGGGAAGGAGTTCTCCATTGGAGTGCTGAAATTTTCTATTATTTGTACCCTTTTTTGTTGGGGTTGGGGGAGAGATTTTTCTTCTTTTGAGGATATTGTGGACTTTTTGAGTTCATAGGTTTTGTTTTTGTGTAAAGCTTGGAATGCGTTCCCCTTTTGAACGCTTTCTAATACATTTTACTTATTAAAAAAAAAAAAAAATTATTTAGATTTTTCTGAATTCTTTATCGGTATTCTAGGGCAAGGCGTCGAATCCTGCAGACAAAATTTCTAATTTTCTACAATGGAATTTAAACTCTTGTCTCCTTACATAGAGGAGACGATCAAATTGTCTTCACAACAATTTTGAAACGAAATAGAAGAACTTTGCAAGAGAAAAGGAGAATTTGCAAAGAATTGCAAAGCAAATTTTATTTGCTGTAAAAATAATAATATCCTCAACTAAAACTGTTCAAACCCTGGAAATTACAATGATTTATATAGAATTTCTTCCTCCCCAATCCTAGCCTTATATTAGTTAACTATCATATATAAAATAAAACCAAAATAGGAAAGTTGCTGAACACAGACTAAGGAAAATTTCAGAATATGAAAAGTTTCTAAAAATCACAAATTCCATTGTAGAAAACTAGGAATTCTGTCTGCATCATAACATAGATTATATTCTAGGTAAAACATATAAACCGGCCAATCTTTAGTAGGTAAAATAGACACTAAATAGTTGATGCATTTCATTTGACCCGTATCTTCAATCTATGATATTGTCGAAAACTAAAGAATTTTCATTTGATGCATTCATTGTTGATAACTTTTGTACTTGGAGCGTCAGCGGTGCTTTTTGTTTGTTTTGTTGCGGAGTAGTTGATTTCCATTTTGCCTTGAAGTTGCGTGGTAGGTGGTTGTCTAGCCCTAGGTCTTCTTTGCTCCTTAACTGATCTAGTTTGGATTAGATTAGCCTTATTTATTTATTTATTTTTCAGAGAAGGCCTAGGGCTGGAGGAAATTTAGTAGAAACTTTGAACTAAATTTCTTGTAATTTCAAATCCAAACTGTTGATTCAGTACTCCCAAACACAACATAAGGTTCATTTATAAGTTAGCTTCCAAAAGAAGCTTTACTCTTTGCTACCAACACACACACACACACACACACACACACACAAAATGATATCTTTCTCATTGGTGGGCAATAGATTTTCTCCACACCAAGTATTGTGACTGTTGGATGTAATCGAGCGGTCATATTGCAAACCCACCTTTCCCTTTTCTAATCCAACAAAACCACTTTTTTACTTATTTATTGTTTCCCAACCACTTTTCTTTTATGTAAAGTTTCCTAAATTAACATTACCAAAGTTAGTGTTCAACGGATCTCTGGTGAGTAGAGAGTTGTATACTCACTTTTATTAGTGGCCTTAGGATCTAATCTGACGGACAACCTTTTTTCCACTGTCTTTTAGGAAACTTAATAATTCTTTCAATTACCATCCAATTGAAATGACAAAAGTAGACACTCCCTTAAAAGAAACAAAAATAAAAATATTTTATAACTAATTTCGGAAATTGAACACTCTGGAATCAAATAAAAAATTATCAAGTCTCTTCTACCCAGAAAATAAAATTAGAGATTATTGTGTACTTTGTGCGAAGAAAAGAGAGAAAAAAAAAATCTGAATTACAAGAATTACACTAAAAAGACTTCTCTGAATTACACTGAAAAGAGTTCTCTTAATTACACTAAAAATACTGTCACCCAGTTTCGATGCCATTCCACTAATAATTACAAGAATTTGTGGTTGAGGTTTTGGTGGTTAGGGTTCTTTTAAGATATTGTGTTCTTTAAACCTAATTCTAAACTACGTTTTTTGGGCACATGAACAATAAAGGTTAGAGATGATACAGTCCTAGAGATTACAATCACAACACATGACTTCATATAAAAAAAAAAAAAAAAAGGTCCGATTAACAATGAACTGAGAAAAAAGAAGTACCAGCATGCTGTCAAACTTAAATAATTTTAAACCATCTTAGACTTTAATTGATTTTCTGTCAAACTTAAATAATTTTACAGGCCTAGAAACCCCACGTTCTTTCCTCTTTTGTTTTGTTTAGGGTTGCGATGTATAGGACTTGACTTTTTTTTCCCTAATTTTCTTCTGCTTTATACAAGGACTGTCATACATGAAGGGGAGTCAAACCTATATTACATATAAATTAGAGTTCCACAAAGATTAGAGGAGTCAGAATGTTTCTTATGCAACAAAAAAACAAAAATCAAATCTTGAAAATTGTATTTAATTGTGATCCTAATTGATAAAAAAATAAAAAAATTCAAATCTGAAAAATGGCTTATATCTTATAATACACACACAACCCGTGTTTTATTTGATTCCGAATGTTCAATTGACAAATTTAGTAGCAAAATATTTTTATTTTTGTTTCCTTTAAGTGGGTGTCTACTTTTGTCATTTTAATTGGATGGTAATTGAAAGAATTATTAAGTTTCCTAAAGACAGTGAAAGAAAGATTGTCCGTCGGATTAGATCCTAAGGCCACTAATAAAAGTGAGTATACAACTCTTTACTCACTAGGGAGCAGTTGAACACTACTCTGTGTGTGTGTGTGTGTATATATATATATACATAAATGATATCTTTCTCATCGGTGGGCAATAGATTTTCTCCACACCAAGTATTGTGACCGTTGGATGTAATTGAGCGGTCATATTGCAAACCCACCTTTCCCTTTCCTAATCCAACAAAACCACTTCTTTTACTTATTTATTATTTCCCAACCACTTTTCTTTTATTTAAAGTTTCCTAAATTAACATTACCAAATGTTTTTTCATAAGATTAATCACTATTTGGATTCGAGAGACTTTTCAGCCCCAATCAACTTTCAATAAATATTGTTATCAATGGGTCTAAAGGATGTCCTTCCATCTCCTTTTTTCCTTTCAAAAAAAAAAAAAATCATATTATTTCGAGAACTCAACAAATTTGAAGAATATCACAATGATTTCTAAGAAAATGATCAATTTTTGGTAGATCACTATTTTAATCAAAACATACATTAAGAGAGATATCAATTACTAAATAGTACCTCGCTTAGAGGTATATAAAGGTCAAACCTTTCATACAATAACATAAAAATGATACTGAACCATAAAAGTAGGTGATCTCAAGCCCTGCTTGTATAACGATCCAGATTCCATTTGTAGCCATTTTTCAAATTTATGTCAGATAAGCATATCAACAAAAATCAACAAATTTTTTAATTAATCCCTCCTCTGATAAGTGTACAAACAAAAATCAAACTCCCTTTGAAACTTAAATCACCAAGTTCCTCTCTTGTAGAATATATGTTGTTGTTACTGAAATCACGAGACATTGAATGTGAAGGTAGGTTGAAGATCGATTGTTGGAATCTAAAGTTGCGAAGGAGAAAACGATGTAGACGAGTTTGGGCCTATCCAATCCCGAGCTTGTCAAGATACGGCCGAGCTGAGCCCAAGCTCGCCCTAGCCAAGTTTGTGCGATTTCGAACCAAGCCTCAAGAACAACCCAGAGCTTGGCTTGGCTTGGTTTGGTTCATTTGCAGCCCCAAATGTGGTAGCTCACATCATGAATTCTCCTTCTCTTTCCTTTTCTATTAGACACCACTCATCCTTTCATATTTTATTTTTTAAAGTTATTTCTATGTATTGCATCCCATATTAATTATGGTCAGCCTCCTTGTCTCTTTCCTTCGATGGAAACTCAATTTTTTTTTCATTAGTGCATCCACAAGTCGATCTTATTTTATACACTTACCACTTATGTAGTACCCGGGATTTTAGTAAAATAATTTTTAAGGTTAGAATGTTCACATAGAGGATCTAATGAACTAGAGATTGAACGTTATAGTTGGATACGTATGTGAACTAGTTATGCTTATTAGAGAAATAAAGTCAGATGGGTTATTGTGTACATGGACCACCCAGTTTCAAATAGTTGTTATGGGGGTTCCCATAGAAACTTTGATAATAATTAATTGTTATTTATTTAATAGTAGGGGTGGAAGAAAGTTAATGAAAAGTGTAAGGCATGCACACTCACCTCTTAATTTAATACAAGTGGCTTTGGGCATACCATAGATCTACAAGTGGATTTGCGTATGCCAATAATGGCAACACCTGTCCATGATAGTTAATAAAAAGTGTTAGGCATGCACACTTACCTCTTAATTTAATACCACGTGTAAAATTATCATGGACAAGTGTTGCCATTATTGGTATGCCCAAAGCCACTTGTAGATCTGCAACTTTTACCTTAAGGTCTTGTAGGACATCTGTAGCTATGCATGCGAGTAACGAGTACAGATGTTCATCACATTGATAACATCTGTAGCTATGCATGCGAGTAACGAGTACAGATGTTCATCACATTGATAACATCTGTAGCTATGCATGCGAGTAATGAGTACAGATGTTCATCACATTGATTCATATAGAAAGCCTTGGGTCTCTGCATCGAATACAATAGCAACTTTCGGCCAAAACAAGGGGAAAAGGGGAAAGAGAAAGAGTTGTAGCATAGATTGGATTGGCAAAGAGGAGGAAGGAGAGTAAAGAGGCAAATCGGAAGAAAACGTGGAAGACAAGTTGGGAAAAAGGGCTCAAAGGAAGGTAGGTTTCCAAACTAATTTTTTTTCCTAACCCATATTTTCTTATAAATGAATTTAGAGGGTTGATTGTTAAATTGCGAAGCCATGGATTTATTTTTTTAAAAAATTCTTTTGTCAAGAACATGAAAGCTGTTGAAAAATTCGTTGAACTTTAAATTTATTTTGTTATGGGAACTATGAATTGAACATTAGGTTAGGTTTGATATTTGCATGATTTAGTTTGTTATTTGATTCTGAAATTTTGAAATATTGAACTATATTGAATATTGATATTGTGGGATTTTGTTTGAACTATTTTCATTAAGATGTGAATTTAATTATGAGTTTTCAAAGAAGCTTGAAATCCGCTTCAAAACTGTTTAATTTTCCTTTTATTTTGAGTACAAATTTGACTTGATTTGTGAACGTTTTCTTGATGATTATTTGCTAATATTATGATACTATCAGTTAGTTTCTAATGAGTTGTGGCTTTTGCAGTCTAGCAAAGTAAATTTGACGAATTTTTAAAAATAAATGCTTTTGTTGCGATTTTTGCTATTGACAGTGCTTTTGGATATTTTCATTATACGTCTATACTACAACTTTGAACAGGAAGTTTTGAAAGGATATGTGAGATGTATAATGGTTTACTAAGAAGTCTATTCTATTACTTAATTTGTAGTACTAAATTTAACCATAAATTTAGTATGTATGAACTGCTATGGAAAAAGAGTATTTCGCCTTTGGAAATTGTGTACGTATGCAAGTTTTGGTATTTGAGTATGTTTCTTAATTGTGTATGTGCCCGACACAAAATAGGTAGGGTAAGAGTTTCCCTTACGTTGTAAAACCTTAAACGGCCCGGCTTTTTTAATGAAGGGGTGTTCACGGTCCCAGGGTGCAAGCCCCTAAAGCCGAAGGACAGAGGGTGGCGGTCCCAGGGGGAAGGCCCCTGAAGACGCAAATGGACACTCGTTGCTAGTTTGGATACGAAATTATGATATTCCGAAATTCCTTACATTTGTTGATAACTTTATTTTTATTTTGTTTTTGTTGTACGGCATTACATTTTGAGTATATTACATGGAGATGAATTGAATATGGAAGCGATTTTGGTGGTACAAGTTAATTGGTTGATAATATATTTTGCAGCCTAGCCTGAATGTTCGGTTCATTTTCTGAAAAAGTAATATTGTTTTTCCTGTAAATTTACTAAACGAAAGCTGTTTTCTCATTTTTGAGTAAAATCTATCAAAAATATTTTGTTCAAACTTCGGAAACCTATTGGGCTCTTTTTAGCTCACTCCTTTTTCTAAAACCTTTTTCAAGTCCTCTCCGTGGTGAGCAAGACTTAGCGGGAGTGACGGGGTCACTAGGAGTACAGCTCTTGGGGAGGTGGCAGTCAGGTTGATACTGGATACGGTTAAGCAGTTTAGCACTAGTTGTCACTATTGGTTATTTCGTCTTGGATTAAGGAAGTATTGTAGATGTTTATTTAATGGATTAATGCAGCCCTTATTTGAAGATACGTATATTGAACTTTGAAGTGTTTTGTTATTTTTGTGGTGTAGTGATCTCACGTCCCTGCTGGGAGCGGGACATGACAACTTAAGTCTGATTTATCTTAATTATTTGGTCGCCGATAGGCGAAGTCCTAATTTATCCCTCACACATTGAGTAGTAATCAGATCTCATTTCAACTACATCCATAGATTGTTTTGGTCCTTTTAAGAAGCCGAACGAGGTCATGGAAATCAATACGTCAAACTGCTCTTAACTGGCTTTCAATTTTCTCCTTGAAATAAATGAAACAAAAGTGACCAAGATTGGGTTAATGATCCCTAGATTGGACTGTATGTTATTGATTTTGCAATTTTGTATTATATACCCATTCATTCAGGATAGGAAGTGTAGATCTCAATTTATTTGTGGGGTATTTTGTTATTTTCACCCTTATTATATAATACCCTGGATTTTTAATAGGCTTTAATCATGATTAAGTGGCTTTATTTGGGATTCTTTACCATTTGCTAGGACTGTGGGCCACAAGCGGGATTTATATAGAACTATTGGGAGATATATTAGAGGCTTTTGTGTAGTTATGTTAGTGAGTGGCAAAGGATTTGGAAATTGTAATACCCCGAGAATTTTAAAAGATTTAGTAATTAGGATTAATTATTTTATTTTATTTTTCAATGATTTATTTTATTTTATTGTGTGCTAGATTAATTATCTTATTTTAATTAAGTTATATTTCGTGATTATGTATGATGATTGATTGTTTGTGTGGTTGATTATTGATTGAATTATTGGTGTGTTGATTTTATTGGTATTATATGACTTAGTTGTAAATTCTTATTTGTTTATGTGCTTCATGTAATTAGTTATTTTAATTTCTGTATTTCATTAATTATCTTATTTATTTAAATTAATTGGATTGGGTTTAAGGAAAGTTGGACCAAAAGATGTGGTCTTGGGCTTGTATGAAACCTTATTGGGTTAATTAATGAAGGTCCGTGGTTATTTAATTATTTAAATGATCACTTTTGTATCAATTATATATATATATATATATATATATATATATGTATATAATTATATATAAATATAATTAATTAATAATTGTTATGGAAAGATATATATATAGATATATATTTATTGATATTTATAAGTATATATGATTTAATTAACTAATGAGTTAATTATGGAAGGAATATATATTTATATATATATATATGTTTATAGATATAAATTATTTAAAGATTATTATTTTAATTCATAATACTAGTTGGAATAGGATTTGGAATTTAAGGTGTATAAAAATACACATAAGGCTTTAGGGTTAAAGGTTTTACACGTTAGAAAAATAAAACAGACAGAGAGAGAGGAAGAAGAAGGGCTGACAAGGAGGAGGTCGGATCTGAAAAGGAGGACGTCGGAATTGGAAGAGATAGTTAAAGCTTAAAGCGTCGGTTTCGTTTCGAAACCTTCAGGCGAGTTTTCTCTAACTTTCCTCTTAGAACTCATAAGGATTTCACCTTGAGTATCAAGGCTTTAATTAAATTTATTTGTTTAAAAATTATGGTTAGATCGGAATAATTAAAAAGTATAAACTATTATATTTGATTTTTAGATTATTGGATTTTAATTGATATATATAGGTGTTATGTATATTTTAAAATCAATCTATAGGTGGATTTGTGACCCAAGAGAGTTAATTATGGTTTCTTTATTTTCTAGAATTGTTCTGTAATTTTCTGGAATTTTTCTGATATTTTTAGGAATTTATTAGGATTTATTTTCCTATTATTTGTTAGGAAAATAATTATATATATATATATATATATATATATATATATATATATATATATACTAGGTAACTGATCTAGTGCGGCGCGGTGTAGGATAATAGGGTGTATACGCCAATTAGGGCCATTTGATTAATTAAACTTATGTGAATTGATATGGTGCATCGCGGCGCATAAAACTTTGGTGCGCATGTGTATCTGGACCATAGAAGTGGTCTGGTCAACTATGGGATTATTTGGTGTATTGCAGACCATGAGAAGATGGTGCACTCGTTGATCTGGACCTTAGATCTATTATAGTTAATAGAAAATAATCTAGTGTGAGCGTGTTCATTTGCGCACTCATTTATGACCATTGGATGCGGCATAAAGGAAGTGATGGATTCAGTGTGGTGAGCTCACGGTAGCTGAAAGAGCTTAGCCAATACCAGCACACAAGGAGGCTTGAATCCAGCGCGTGCAAGTGCATAGTAAGCACGTGGGCGCGCGTGGGAAACTATGTTGGCCTAATTCGACACTAGAAATTAAAACGGTCATAACTTAGTCATTTTAAATCGAAATTGGGTCATTCTTGAGCTCAAATTCAAGGATTTTTCGTCTTCTTTCCAATGGTACCAATTTCATTATCAGATTCCCATCCTACTAGGAGATATTTATGTTTTAGTGAGAAAGTGTCGGAAAACTATTTAAACCAATATGGAGTATTTAAAGGAAACTATTTCTGACATATTTAGTTGCACTAATTTGTGTAAATATAATAAATTAATAATTTGTTATGGAAGGAAGTGTATATATATATATATATATATATATATATATATATATATAATTATTTATATATGTGTATATATAGTTTAATTTGTCTATGAGTTGTATGTGTATATATAGTTTAATTTGTCTATGAGTTGTATGGATATATATATATATATATATATATATATATATATATATATATGTATGTATGTATATTGATTTTAAATAATCAAGGATTATTAAAGAAGGTGTTAAACACATATATACATTAAATAACATATGTGTAGGTATATATATATATAAATCATTTAAGATGATTAATATTATCATTCTTATTTGACATATCTTAATAGGCTGGTTGTTAAATTAATGATATGCGTATAATTTGCATGTGATGGCTATGTATGATTTAGCGTATTGTTAATTTTAAAGTTAATTCATGGTTAAAGTGTGGGCATGGATGAATTGTCAAATGATTAAATATATTACCTAAATATTTGTATGAATAGAATACATATATGGAAAGTATGGATGAATTGCTAATTAAATGTATGAATAAATATACCTGTGGAGGCATGGTTGAATTGCCAATGTATAAATATACATACACGGAGGCATGGTTGAATTGCCAATGTATAAATAAATATACTTATGGAGGCATGGTTAAATTGCCAATATATAAATAAAAATATTTACAATGGCATGGTTGATTTGCCAAAGCATAATTACGTTGTTATGTGTTAGATGATTAAAATATCATCTATGATTATTGTATGTATGGATTGGATTAGGGTTAGATATTCTTAAATGAGAATAGTTTAGTACTTACTGGTTAGTGTATTATTTTACATTAATAAAATAATATTGGGGAAGACGTGGATGATTTGTCAAAACTTGGATTTTGGATATGTGATTTAAACAATTAAAATCATTATCGGGTTGGGATTAAATAGAGTATTTCTTTTATTATAATTTGTTGTTTAAATGATTAAACAACTGACTAGGATGGGATTAAGGTCAAAGGAGTTTTTATAAAATGAAATGGTAGATTGGTCTAGGTATGAATATTATTTTAATAATTATTTAATAGGTATGGAAATTTAATAAACCTATTAATGGATGTGATTAGTATAGTATATATAATTATATATAGACATGTATATCGTGCTTTATTAAAGTTAAAACTTTATTAGGTTTGATTTTGATCAGAGATGATCTGCTTATTGGTTTTCAGAGGCCTGGTAGAGTGAACTTGCTCGTAGGGTTTAACCCACGATTTATTTTTCAGGTTATTAGAGGTTCCAGTCTCGAGGTTGAGGATCCGCAGCTGGGAGACTGTCATTCGTCTATTCATCTTGTGTACTTTTAAATAGTATTGGATTATTGGATAATGTTTTAAGGGGTCCTTGAGTTATGGGATTTCCGAATTGTAATTGTTGGAGAATCATTAAGTAATATTTATTTATTAATTTTCTTCAGCGGTTTATTTATTCTTTATTATTCATCTTTGTATTCTGTGCTTGTTAAATACTTAAATTGTTTTGATATCCCTTGATTTTGTGCGCGGACTTGATCAATCCGTGTTCCAAAATTAGGGGGTATTACAGTTGGTATCAGAGCACTCCAGGTTCAAGTGTCCCTAGGGTGTCTTTCGTTGTGTGACTTCCGCGTTATGTACTCTTTTACTTAGAGCTTAAGTTTAGGATTCATTGTATTCTATATTCGGTCCGTTAGTGTGTCCTAATGGTAAATCATTGAGTCTTATCAGGAAAATGGTAAGACACCGATTTAGAAGGTATTGGTAAATCGTTGAGTCTTCCCCTAATTTTGAAGTATGGGTTTTATGGATTTATGCACCAATAAAATAATATGGAGGTATTTTAGGGACGGATTAACGGAATAGTTAAGTCCTACCTATTTATTTATGAATTGTATGGTTTAATACACCGGTATGGGACGGTGGCATTTCAGGGACGGATTAACCAAAGAAGTTAAGTCCTACCTATATATTTATAAGGGAACGGATTAACCATAGCGTTAAGTCCTACTTATTCGTGTCAGGTTAACGGAATAGTTGGATGGTATGCCATTGAAATAATATGGTTGGATAGTTTACTTTTATGTGGATATAATGGATTATATATATATATATATATATATATATATATATATATATATACATACACACACACACACATATATGGGCCATGATATAAGCTTGAGTCTCAGGATCAGTGGTTAGGATGGAGGCGTATATTGCCGATTGAGATGGGTAGCTGGGTTTAAGGATGTGTGGGCTCTGGTAAAAGGAGGACTCGTAATCACCTTTGTGTGCGTTTTACATGAGATACCCACTATCCGGATGAAACTGCTTTAGTCCAGTGAGAGTCTCTAGTGTGTACTTATATTTATCAATTATATAAATATGGAATTAGCTAATTACGTGATGTGTCTGCTAATAATGAATATGTGTGGATGGATTAATTTCCACACGGATAAAAGGAATAATGAAATTTGAAATTAAATAATCAAAGTTTTTATTTCATGGATTTGTGAATTTCGAGGACGGAATTCCGTTTGTTAGGGGGGAAGATTTGTAACGACCCACTCCACCACATGGTATGATATTGTCCGCTTTGGGCCTGAGCCCGCACGGTTTTGCTGTTGAGCTTCACCCCAAAAGGCCTCATACCAATTGGAGGTGACACACTTACATATAAGTACTTCACCTTTCCTCTACCCAGGCGATGTGGGACTGTGCACCCGTAGCTCGCCAGTGTGGTAGCCTGACAGTGTCTCTCGCACCCGCCCACGGCACACCCGCCCACAGGGTCATCACAATCCACCCCCCTTGGAGGCCCGACGTCCCCGTCGGCACACTTCCGGCTGGGTCAGGCTCTGATACCATTTGTAACGACCCACTCCACCACATGGTATGATATTGTCCGCTTTGGGCCTGAGCCCGCACGGTTTTGCTCTTGAGCTTCACCCCAAAAGGCCTCATACCAATTGGAGGTGACACACTTACATATAAGTACTTCACCTTTCCTCTACCCAGGCGATGTGGGACTGTGCACCCGTAGCTCGCCAGTGTGGTAGCCTGACAGTGTCTCTCGCACCCGCCCACGGCACACCCGCCCACAGGGTCATCACAGAAATTACCAAGGTTAAATTAAGGGGAGACTATGTGGTAGCCTCACATGACTTTTAAAACACCTGTTATATACATGCAACCCATAGGACACGATTATTGCCGAAGCTTTACATCTGTTCCTATATTGTAACCCAACAAGGAAACGTTTTGCCCAGTTTCCCTTTAAAACTGTTGCTGCCCTTTCTCTTGTTACAACAGAAACCAAAGGAAAAGCAAGAAGAAGAGAGAGAGAGAGAGAGAACTCCAGCCGTGAGGTTTTAGTGAGAGAAAGAGAGGAGCTGTAGCCAAATGCTAGAGAGAGAAAGAAGAAAGAAAAAGGAGAAGAAGGAATAGAACAGCGCTGTACCACCATTTCATCATCACCATCCGATTGTTGGTAGGGTTTTCTCTGTCTTTCCTACCCAAAATGCCATCTTGATTATGTGATTGGTTTGCCCTAAAATATTTGATGGTCTTAATTGTAATTGTCAAATAGCTGTGCGTGTTTGTCTACAAAATTTGGGGGTTTTTGAGGGTTTGGTATTCCGTCAGCATGTGTGCATATACATGTTGTTTTGACATGCAAATCACATAATTTTCTGTTAATCATGCCATCATATGCATAAAACCACGTTGGAGCTCTTGTTAGGATTTTTCCAGCGTCGACTCCCCCTATTACATTTTCGGGTACCAAAGTTGATTTGGAGACTTCGAGAGTTGCTTAAGGCTCATTTGTTTCCTTTTGAGAATGTCCTTATTATTAAATTTAAATTTAGGGATTGCTTATATTGCTCTTATGGATTTATTTGTGTAATTGAGGTTGGGGTACATTGTTGAAATCAATTATGTATATGAAGCAGGTTCTTTTGATCATATTTTATTTTGTGGGTTTTGTATTGGAATTGATATATTACAGTCCAGGGGATTTCTCAGAGACGTTTTAGCAAACTGGGTCGTTACATATTATGTTACCCTAATTATAGTTTAAGGCGATGGTTAATTATTTTATAGTTTCGTTTTGCTCTTCATCATAATGAAATCTCGGTGATGTCGTGTATGTAACCAAATTGGTGGAGCTTATGCTGTTATGGCTATTAGATGCACTGAAAACATCAAATATATTTCCTATCATATGTGCAATTAATGTAATGTTTATTAGAATCGAACATTGTGGTAATATACTCATCGTTTTAAGATTTTATGAATAAGTTCTGATTATATATGTAATTTAATGCAGTGGCAATTCGAGCAGATGGGGCTAACAAACATAATTGTTATTTGAGGATGTCAGTCCTCAACTTATTTGTACTATTCACTTTCGCTTTATCTCCATCCAATGCGTATGAGGCCAAGAGCATAGTTACTGGTGCCTCTTACCACATGGTGAGTTTCATTTTTGTTTTTTTTTTGGTCAGTATTTTGTGGGTCTACTTTTGAAATAGAATCCATATGAATTTAAATGTTGTAGGTCTACATTTTGAGAATGGAAAAGAACTTCCAGATAACCAATAGGGAAAGGCTCACTGAAACGAGTGGAATCGGAAATGAGGGTATGTTTCTTAATTTACATTCTTCTTTTCCCTGTTAGTGCTACATCCTAGTAATTGTGTTTCTCATGTATTCAAACATTATTATATTATGTTGGTGCAATACTTCATTTTTTCTTTTTATGGAATGGATAAAATCAACATTATTGCACCGTAAATATCAACCATTTCTTGTGTATTCAAACATTTTTCGCCTTTAAGCAAAACTGTCTCTATTGATCAGTGGAACTATTAAGGTCTCATTTTTCTTTTTCATTTTCATTTTTTTAAAATAAGTTAACAACATTTAGGCATTGAGTGTTGCCTGTTCCATTACATCCTAGTGTAATTATGCTGCATCACTATCGCTTCATTTTATGCTTGCTATATAGGCATTCTTCTTTTATGCTTTCTATAAACTTTAAGAAACAATCTCATCTCTCTCACTTCATTCTTCTTCTTATTCTTTTTATTTTCTGTTTTATTTTATATTTTAATTCTTTCAATCTTTTAAACAGTTTTTTTTGCTAATAGTCAATATTATGTCAATGCCTTAAGCCAGGGGCGGAGGTAAGGGGGGGCTGGCGGGGACCATGGCCCCCCCTAATTTTTTTGAATTTTTTTTTTTTTAAGTATAGGTAAAAATAAAATAATATAGCATATATGGTATAAAATCTATATTTGGCCCCTTAAGAAAAAAAAAAAAAAAAACTTTCTTTAATTAGCATTTAACAAAAGATAGTTTATATATAATCTAAAAAAAAGTGATTTAATTGACAACTATAGAACCCGATAAAAACTGATTCACATAAAAATTTAATATTTAACGTGGCTATCTTAAAATTTCAACTCAAATACTGTTCTTTCCATAATGTGACTATCTTAAAATTCTTCCAACTCAAGCACAATTATTTCCATAACCTTATTATCCTAAAATTCCCTCTCATACATGATTCTTTCCATCACTTTTTTTTCTTTTCTTTTTATTTATTTTTATTGGAATGATTTTATAAGAATTCTATAAGAAATTACAATTTACAAAATCTAGAACAAAAATTTCATTTGAAGTTTTGAATATCTACAAAAATCGATGATTTAAGAATCTAAATTCTTATTTTACTAATTTGTTTTGTTTTTTTATTTTATCATTGTTATTGTTTTGTTAAATTTTCAAGTGTTACTTTTTTTTTTTTAAAAGTTCTTTTTGTTTTTGTTTTTTTTCTTTTTGTTAAATAAAGAGAGTTACTTAATTATTATTATTATTTTTTTATAATTTTGGCATAAATCTTATTTGTGTTTGTTCAGAAAGTTTGATAAAAAATTTCTATAAATAATTAGTTTTTTTTTAATTTTTAATTTATTTATTTAAATAAATTGGGAAAAGTTTAGATAGATATATTTTTGTATGAATATAATAAATAGTAAAATATTTTTGCCCACGTAATAAATTTTTTTTTTCCAACAATTCGAGCTAAGTAATGTTGTTTATAATTTTGGCCCCCCCAACCTCGAGATCTTGGTTCCGCCCCTGCCTTCAGCCACAACGTGAATAAGGAATTTTCAAGAACAATCTTTTTAACAATTTATAGAATGTTTGAGTCAAATTTTTTTAGTATATTTTAAATGTCGTAGATTTCAAACTTATTAATTTACCATTTTCTTTCATAAATAATTTTTCCAAGACTGAAGAGTTTTTGCAGTTCTAGTGTTAAAGTTATCAGGGTTTGCAGAGTTTAAATAATGTAAATAAAAGAATAGGGTTTTGTGTTCGCGGGCATAAAATTAGAATTTAAGTTAAAGGTTTAACTTTCATTTTAGGTTAAGGTTTTATTTTTCTTTGCGATAGATTATTTTCTTTCTTTATTTATTCTTCTTCTTTTATGTTCTTTTTCTTTCTTTCTTTATTTATTTTTCATGTTTTGAGGTAGAGAATACTGTAGTGAAAGACTTCAAGTTTAAGAGATATCTTGGTTCAACATATTTTTAAGGTTTAGGATTCAATATTAAGATAGGGTTACTATTGGGAACTCAAAACATAGATGCATTGAATTCTATTTAAAATAATTTTGAGTATACTAATTGCACTTTATTAAGAAAATTCAATAATTTCACAATCTCATTGAATATTGTCAAAAACTGTTAAATCTAGCTTAACCAATTCCCCAAAATACCATTCTGCCTTAATAATGAATGCTCTTCAAGGGTTAGTTTATAAACTACATTTAGTATTGTTTGATTGCAACTAATTAGCCTTTATTTACTTATTTTTTTTATACTTAAGTTGCAGTTACTATCTTTCAAAAATATTTTGCATCAATGTATCATCTCTTGAAACACAAAACTCGGGTTAGGGACCTGTCAAAACTAAGCAGGGTGGTTTCATGCATTTGCTTTTCTGTTGCTACATCGTAATATCTATCTCTCATTTCCATTGTACATGTTGATTTCTTGCTTAAGAGAGAGAGATGTTGAAGTTTCTCCCATCAATGCGGGGTTACCATGGAGGTTTACACTAATAAAAAAAAAATGTGGGGTTACTATGGAGGTTTACGTACGAGGGAGAAGGTTCCCAAAGCATGTGCAAACCTTCAAAGAAGGACCAAACTGTAGTAAGGTCGTCACCTTCAATAGGCTTGACTTCATTTGATCAAGTGATCGAAACCTCAAGATATAGTAGGGTAAGTAGTTACCATAGTAGGATGGGGCAGCTGCAATCAACCTCATTGGCTCAGAATTAATTTTGTATTTCTTTATAAGACTAATCTCAAAAACTAGTTTATATCTCTGACGGGTCCGCATGATGTTGGAATTTGAGAAAAAGTAGATGGTATAAATGGTGGTCTTCTTCTCCTCCTCCTCCTCATCCACTTTTTTTTTTTTTTTCAGTGCTAACCTAGTTGAGGACAATATGATAAGCTTAAATTGTCCTAAAATAGAAAAAACGTTCAGAACCTATTATTACTCCAATAAGTTTTATTTCATTAGAAGTATTTTTTGGAACATTTAATTCTTTTAGTGCTTTACCATTTTATGTGTTTATGTGGCTTGCAGTTACCCAGGAATGACTGATTTCCTAATATCCGGGCTTTATAAATGGGATGGTGATGCACATAAATTCAGTAAGAGCAAGCCTTACATTGAAGTAGTGACATCCCCAAACAACCCAGATGGTTTTATAAGGGAACCTGTGGTAAATCGTAAAGATGGAAGAGTGGTTCATGATCTTGCTTACTACTGGCCACAATATACTCCAATTTCTTCTCCTGCAGACCATGAACTCATGATGTTCACTGTCGCCAAAGCCACAGCCACAGCCACAGACCATACCGGGATGCACATAGGGTGAGAATTAATATTATAAATTTGAAAATGATCAAAATTAGGTAAATATTGGTCTGTTATATTTCTAAGTATCTGTGTTTTTATATTTTGCAGTTGGGCTCTCGTTAAGGATGAAGATCATGAAGAAGATGCCAAAAAAAAAAAAACTGGTAAAATACATGGAGCTCAATAGTATTGGCGTATCAAAAGATTCACAGCTTCGAGCCACAAAGATTCTGCAAGCTGTGATTGATAGTTAGGACCATACTGGCATCCCTGAAGAAGGTGAAACCTTATTTGAGTATGGTTTTAACCTTATGGCAGAAAGGTGAAAGACACTCAGGGCGGTAGTAAAACAGAACCCCATTTTTAGCTTGCCTCTCTATTCTACTGGGTTGTGCAGCTTTAGTGGTCGAACTTTTGAACCACAACCAGGTAATTTCAGATGCACACAGATCACGCGCTCTGTAAGCACGGACACACTGTGAAAGCTTAAGTTTGGTGTTAGTCCAAAGTACGTAACAATTAGCATGGTGGATCATGATAATATTTTTGATCTCTTTGCCTGAAAGATGGTAACTTAGAGGAGGGAAGAAGTTTGGTGTTAGTCCAAACTACATAAGATTAACGATCCATTTCACCATATGGTATAATATTGTTCGCTTTGGGCCCGAGCCGGCACGGTTTTGTTTTTAGGCTTTATCCCAAAAGGTCTCATATCAATTGGAGATAACACTAGTATATATAAGCACTTTACCTTTCTCTTATCCAGGCGATGTGGGATTGTGCACCCGTTAGCTCACCCGGTGTGGTAGCCTATCAGTGCCTCGCACTCATACACGGCACACTCATTCACAAGGTCACCACAAATTATCCATAATTAATCCTCCCATAGCACTCCCAATGTGGTCTTCATGTAAATAAATTTGTTAATATTTTATATAATTTTTTATATCTTTTGTACAAGCTCATATTATATATAGATTTCTATTTGTATGGGATTTTAAGAGGTCATTTTAATTTTAGAAAGAAATATCAGATATCCATGTCTATATATCAATATATATTTGTATCAGATGCTAGACTGGATTTTGCTTCTCAACTTGAGCAAATCAATCTATGCTTCGGATTTGATTAATTCTAGTAGTAGAAAACTTTCAGAATCTACTTTTGATGATGACGACGGAAACAATTCCCAACCAGGATCCAAACATCAATTTTCCATATCATTCTCCCATTATCGTGGTTCGTCGTACCGTTAGTTGATATATTACCAATTTTTAAGTTCGATATATGATTTGTATCGGTCAGTTTATACTAACTTTGTCTGAGTTTGGTATACCGCGACCGATACAAACCGTGACTGATATTGTCAACCATGTCCATGATCCAAACATCTCCATTGACTACATAATTAAACTGATTAGGAAGTCCTTGCTTTGGACATTCAAGTACTTTATAGGAGCCATAACATGTATGTCTGTGTATATATGTATATGTATAGGAGTTTGAGTAGTTGAGTTGGAGCTTCGGGGGTTTGACTAATCAAGAGTTGAGAAAGATTGAAACAACATGAATTGTCAATTCCTGAATGATTGTTTTGATGGAATTTGATTGTTAGTAATTGTGTTTCAAAATTTTATTCAAAATAGGTTTTTATTTTAGGGGGTTTTTATTTTAGAGTTAGTATTTTTATTAAGTAATTTTTTGTTAGGAGGAATTAAATTTTGTACTCTATAAATAGAAATACTTGCCTTCTCGTCATTTGAATCTGAATTTTGCATCACTTGATCTGGCTAGCAGGGTTGATGGGTAGAGGGAGTATATTGTTTGATAGGGTGGACATTGATTGCGAGAGGGAGTCTCATGAAGTGCACGAAGAAAAATTCAGTCAATAGTTTATGTTCGTAGTTCAGTGTTAAAAATTCTCTATAGTGTAACATTCCTACGAAATTATAATGAAATCGTTTCTCATTCATAGACAATCCCAAATTTTGGATGAATAACATAAATTTTGTGTGGTAGAATTGTAACCTACACAAGAACTGTCCCGATAACATTAATACCCCTAACCCTCACTATAATCAAGAAAAACACATGTAGCAGAACCAGCAAATGTGCTGTAGTTAAAGATAAGGGTTATGTTTAAAGGGTACATGGGCTTGGGTCACTGAGAAAGATTTGGGGCTTAGGGGTTTAAAAAAAACAGGCTTATTCTTATACACAATTATGGGGGCTATAACAGAAGTGTGTGTATATATATATTTCGAGTTCAATTCTTATGTACGTTTGTAAGAAGGAAAAAAGAGGGGTGAAAGGAAAATAAAAAGTAATGAAAGTAATGAATAAATTTTTTTCAAATGATATAAGGAAATAAATAATAATAGAAAAGATAAGTCATTCTTCTTCTTTCACGAATTTTCATTCACCCAAATATAAGCAGAAGATAGGAGAAAAGACGAGTGAGTCTATTATAAAAGTTTTAAATTACTACATCACCCTTTATATAGTGATGGTTTACTGATCAAATTAAATTGTCAACTTTTTTTATCAAACAAAACAAAAATAAGGAAACACTAATCTTTTTGCGGGATGTCTCAGTCATCCATTATCTTCTCCTTTTTATTTAATTTTTTCCCTTCCTAATGTATTCAGGAATAAAAGAGTCAAATAAAGAGGTGTTTGAGATTGACTTGTTTAGTAAATGAGTTTAAGAATTTTGTTTAAGTTTAATTTATTTATTAATCAAACGAATCTATCAAACCGAGTTTGACTGTTTTTCAAAAACTTGATAAATTTACGGTCCTAATTAGAATGAAAAAAAAAAAATCCACCGTTATTAGTGCAATTTATGATTTAGTCCCTTAAATTTATCGCAACCATAAATCCGAAACAAGACAATTGTACATTTTTACTTAACAATAAGCCGACACGTGTACGTATATAATCCATTAACACCAAAAATCTGCTGGTAGTATTCAGATCCGACGTGTCTCACATAGAGAAAAACAAAACCGAGTTCCATTAGTATCCAGTTTCGCTCAAATCTCCTAAATACCCTTATTTATCGACCGTTATAAGGCACTCACAGACCCAATTCAGTAACTTCAGACCCTGAAAATGGATAATCCCAGATAAAAGTTGCGATTTCGCAGGCTTTTTATCTTCTTTACGGTCCGAATCCCCTCTTTTTTCGTTTTCTTCTTCTACAATTATTCTACAATTAAACACTGATCGGTTGATAGGTCAAACGCGACAAGATTGGCTCGGAAAATTCGTCGGAAAACGAGAGGGAAAGTGAGAAAATCTGGGAAAGAAGGAAAATGCACTCGTTAAACCTCAAGGTTCTTGCAGATTTCAATGCGGGAACCACAAGGTGTAGGCCGCCTGGTCGATTGAGCTTTGGAGTTGCAGATTTCGAGGCCGGTACGAGGAGGCAATGGTTGAATTGCAGAAGTTGGGGGAAGACGAGTAGGATCGTTGCCTGTTCGTCGGAGAGAAGTGGTGGTGCGGAGAGTCAGCAGAGTTCGAGTTCATATCTTTCTCGTAGCCAAACCTATGCTATGTTGAAGCAGCAAATGGAAGTTGCTGCAAAATCTGAGGTAACTGGTCCTTTGTTTTCTCTCTCTTAATCTATATGTATATGTACGAATATTGAATAATGCATGCAAGATATTAGTGAGATTCGCTGATGATGAATTTGATGGTTCTTTAGAAAGTGCATTTTTGGTCTGTTTCTCTCTCTTCTATTGATATGATTCTTCAATTTTACATATTTTTCTGGCAATTAGGTGAATTCAGGATATTTTAATATTTGGGCTGCTTCAATTCTTATATTTATCACAATTTGATTTAATTTTAAGGGTTTTAGAAATTGAAGTTACAGGATTAATATGGTTTGTGCATTGCAAATATTGCATTATAAATAATATTATTAAAGAATTCATGGTTGAGAATATGATGAAAGCCTTTTCCTTTTATGGGAATTTATTTATGGTTGGCAACTTGATTTTCTGTATAAATACTTTATAGGAATTAATGGTTGGCAATTAATTATCCGAGTCAGAGTTTTATTTTTTTATTTTTTATTTTTTTACTTCATTTCCATATAGTAGTATATAATTTTTTGTTGATATTAACATTTTTTACATTTGCATTTCTGAATTTCTACACTTTCACACTCTTGTTTTTGGTTTATTATTGGGCATGCATGTTGAATTGGATTATATATTTTTCCGTACAACTTGATCAGGACTACAAGGAGGCAGCAAGAATTCGTGATTCATTGAAATTATTTGAGGAAGAGGAGCCGATTTTGCGTCTTCGGAGATTGCTGAAAGAGGCCATTGCTGACGAAAGGTTTGAGGTACCCCACTCCAACTCCTTGATGCCATTCCTAAACACTTGAAGTTATCCTTATATTAGTAGTTTGTATCCAAAAATATTGGAATATAATGGTTCACATCCTCTCTGCACGCAGAGATAATGCTGTGTAAATCTAACCCTCCCCAACACCGCAATGGTGGGAGCCTCGTGTATTGGGCTATCCCTTTAGCTGGTGTTTTGTATAGTTTTAGACAGTTGCTATGTGCTTTGGTGATCTATTTTAGGGACTTTTCACATTGTTAACAAGGCAATACCTGATGTATAAAACAAGTATTCTGTATGATTGATCCTTGGTCGCTTTCAGTTAGGATGTTGATAATTGGAACCCTCTAGTTGGACACAACAGTTACTAAATTTCAAATCTTACTAATGATTCATTTGTTGAGATCTACACTCCAATGTATTTTTCATCTTATTTTTTTATGTAAAAAAAATGAATGATTTATTGAAAGTAAACTATTTCCTTTTGCTCACTCTAATCAATGGCCAATTGGGGTTTGGGTTTAAGTACTAGCTTGACTATAATCACTTATTTTATTTTTTGTTGGTATATCAATCTTTGTAGTGTGGTCCACTTTCAAAAGCTTACCTCTCACATGAAATTTGTGACAAGAGGACAAGGCAGGTAATTATTGGCAATGACATGGAGAAAGGATATGGGAGTAGCAAATGTTGTGAACTGCGAAAGCGAAAGGAACATGGAGATCCAATGAAAGACAGAATAGAGCAATCACACACAAAATACAATATTTACGTGGTTCAGCCAAACCCGGCTTTTCATAACATATGAGAAGAGATTCCACTATAATTGATGTAAAGATTATACAACAATAGAGAATTTCAAACACCAAACCATGTACTCAAACTCTTGCCCCAGAGTTATTCTCCGTGTACTCCATGAGACTCCCTCTCTCCATTGGTGTTCGCTCTACCGAACCCGTAGCCATCTCTACCCATTAGGAAATTGGGTAATCAGGAAATTGTGCCCGTAATTGAATTATTTGAGTAAGAAGTCTAGCAAATTCAACATTGCGAGTAGAAAGTAAATAAACATTTGACCATCGTGTTGAGGCATCAATTAAGACCATAACATAACGAAACGGTCCACATGGGGTGAATCAGCCAAATATATCCCCCCACCCAACTAGCCGTATGGGGTGGGGTGCTTGTAGTAAGCTGCCTTGGATATGAGGAATTCCTTTAAAAAAAGAGGCAAAGCTTGGTATTTGATGAAAATCTCTTTGCGATTTTGTTGGGGGGGGGGGGGGGTCCCTATGAACCAACAACTGAATCCATCGTAGATACCTCTGGGGGCGATGAATCGGGACCAGCTTAAAGAAGTAATATAGGAAAAGTGTGGGGTCCTTTTCCCGAGGATGGATCGAGGGAATTCAGGTACTCAAACAGTTTCTCAGTCATCAGTTTGAGATGAAAGATCTCTTGATCACTCTCCCAACTCATAACTCTTAACCATAACCTAGGTATTTATTTACAGAGTCCAAAATCCATTCCTTGTTTGTTAAAGATTATAATTTCTTAAAGTCTAACACTTGCTTAACAAGAATAGATTTTGACTGTGCTTGCTCAAATTCTTGTCTGAGCACTTATTCAGATTGAGCTGGGCTTGCTAGTGGATGTAAACTCTTAACTATAGTTATGGATTCTGTTGGGCTGTGTTTCTTTTTTTCATTCGAACTAGACACGCCAAAACTGGAACTTTCTAGTTTATAATTTAGTGCCACTAAAATACTCCCTCTATCCAAATTAAGTTTCCCTTTATCCTTTGTGGATGTTCCAAAATAACTGTCCCTTTGAAAATTGAATTTACAAACATTGAAACACCTATCCTTGGGATTTGAATTTTTTTCTAAATAAAGGATGTAAATCTTCAAATTATTGAAGTTAATTTTGAAAATTTAAAGACAGACATGCATTAAATGAATGTCCCCATTAATAAAGTTGGAATCCTTAAAAGAGACACTTAGTTTGGGGAGGAGGGAATAGTATGTACTTTCAGTTCACCTTTTCTATTGTGAATAGTGTATTAAATAAATACACGTATTCATACTTATACAAGAATGTGTTAATTGATGCAATGTAATATATTAAGTCAAGAGTCTTAGTTAAATTTTAAGTTAGCCTCAATTTCCTCAAGATGGATCACATAGTCTGGTGGCTATGGTTTAACAAAGAAAAGAGGAGAAGAGTTAAATGAAGGGCAAAGGCTGGGGGTGCGTGAGGAGATCTTGCCTTGGAAAAACCTTCAGTACCCAGATTGCCCATAAAAGAACAAATGTATAATTACAGTAAAACCATTATTGAGAGCATATGTAGTGTATTTGCCGAATGGGCTATTTTACCATTATTGAGAGTTACCTGTCCTGTTTTTGGGTCACAACTTCATTTTTTTGAGGTTATCTATTACATTCTTTGACCTTTTACTATGCTCTGATCCGTTTCAGCGATATCAAAACAGGTTTTATGACTTCTAGTTATATAATTTTGGAAAAGGCTTTATTATGATTTTTTTATTATAAGATATTGAGTATGTTCCGAAAGATGATGCATGTTCATTTCAATCCACTGCGTTGGGTAACTTTTCCATGGTATATTGTAATAAATTCCTTTTCTTTTCAGGATGCAGTTAGGATCCGTGATGAAATGAAGGATATTGCTCCGCACTCTCTCTTGAAATGTTTGAGCGATGCAACAACCTTGGTATGATCAGCATTTGATTCTCATGATGTGATTCTGTTGGTTTAACAGCAAAATTCTTTCCATTATCTGATTAAGTCAGTTTTATGCAATTCTGTATCTTGAATGCATCAAATAAATTTTCTTGTAAAGCAAACACACACACTTACAACATACCCCTAGCAAGACTCAAATACTCAACCTCTCCTTTGGGGAGGAGAGATCATACCAATTGGGCTAGTGGCCCGGTGGCGATCTTATTTCATCATATGTGAAAGCAGTAATTAGATTGTTGGTCAAGCTAATTTTGTAAACCTCTCTTAAATTAATGTGTTGGAAAAATGACATGCTTTTAGGAACATGAAAAAGAAAATTTAAAGAAAATGTGAGGGTAAAAAAAGGAAGAGAAGATTTTGCTTCATACTTTTTACATGGAATGTTATCAGTTTTGTTATATTCTTACTTAGGTATCGGGTTTCACACTGTTGCCACATTAGACAAGTAGACAGCCATTTGCAATGCATGTCTTGACACATCACTCTGAGGGCTTCAAGGATGTTGTGGTTTGATGGGTTAATAGAGAAGACTTTAGCTATCAATACAATCACGTTGAAGCAAGTATATTAGAGCCACCTGATATTGTCCCATATCGTATTCCATGGGCGCCCACCTCTAGCTAGCTTAACTATACGTGAGGAGAGAGTGGGGGAGAATGATGGGACATGTGTTTCTCCTTGATTAACAGTGTCTTGGCCACACGTTTTTTTTTTTTTTTTTACACATAAACGTAAGCTGCATATTTCGTCGTGTATACATACCTTCTCTGATAATGACCAAAGGGTCAACTTCTATCTATTCTATAAATTGAGGGGCTACTCTCTCTCGCTGCATCTCTCTCTCTCTCTCTCTTACATTTGTCCTCTCCTCTTCTCCTCCATCAACCACTCTCTTGGGATCCCACTAGCGTGACATTAATGATCCGCAGTATCCACATTTTGATGGCTCAAACTGGGAAATTCCATTCATAGTGGCACTCTTTCTTCACTATTTTGTTTGGGAGACCTCTAACTGAAGGTTTGAAACCATGTTCCCAGCCGGCATTTTGGCTAAAATAAGTGGATGGAGTTTTATAGTCTTACAGGAATATTGAGGTGGAGAGAATGAGGTGATAAGGATTGCTGTGAAGCCAAACTCTACAAAGAAAACGTGTTAAGATCATCAGACTTCTAGTTGTGGTCAAAATTTGCTTATGAGGTGCTGAGTTGCACACGGCATCATGTTCACATGACTCTATGCCTAGGTAGTTGTCAAGCAGCAAGGAAGATGAAATATTAGGTTTGTCAAAACTGAGATCGATTTGTGATTTACACCCACTATTTTTTCGGTTCGCCTTTCATAAAAATATTATGTGATGGCCTTCATGCCACTGACATATCTACGTGCAAGCCCTGCAAGCACATTTGAATATTTGATGGAAAGCTTTTCATTCACATGCTGAAAGGTCAAAAAGCATGTCATTGATGGTTCCAACTGCTTTCATCTCCATCACATTCCAAACTGGTGAATGTAATGAATGTACATGCTCTTCATGGGATGATGTCCTGCGCCCATTTCATAGCTATTTTTTATTTTTTGTTTACCGTGGGATAGTGCCTGTCTTGCTTACTGCACTGCCTACATTCCTGACAATATACATCATACATGGCAACAAGTCAACAACTGAATTTTCATCTCACGAATTAGCCCAGCATCTATAGTTGGTCACATGCTTTCTGAATTCATATTCCTACATCCAATGCCTACCATGGGTGATGCCCACATGCAGGTACCATGGTACAGGCTACTAAGGGTCACTTGCTTAAGGGTCCACCCAATCATGTTATGGCAATGCCTTGCTACCATACCCCCTAGGTTACTACCTCACCTCAAGAACACATGTCGTGCAATGTGCAATCAATTGGCGTGTCGTCTCATGACGACAACTTATTCTATTACTATTAATTCATGGAGCTGCCTCAGGTTTTTCATTTTAAATACCAGGGAGCTTACTCTTGCTTCCCTTATGGCATTGTTTGAAATCCCACCTTCAATCATTATCATAGTATAGCACTTCTCATTACTTCATTTCCCTTGAATCTCTCATTAAATGGTCATGGCATATCACTACCATACAATGCAAAGAGGGTGAGATATTCCCTGTATAGATGTGTGTGTGTGTGTGTATTTATACAGGATATTGGCAACAAGGTATCATGGTTGGTCATTATATGATGCCCACCACCGCATGATTGATCATCCTAGAGATCCCAGCCCCCATAATGAGAGGTCAATCTAAAGCATGTCACCACTTTTACTTCACCGTGACAGCAGTTGATTGAATCCCAACCTTCTCACCTAGCCGTAGATTACAGCAGATTGGTAAAGCCTTTCCATGCCTTCGACAGCTATTTGTAGAGGCTTTTCCATCCCATATCAGATTACACGGTTTACACCTTAGTTATAGAATTTGTTGATGTGCTTGCATGCTGTCATTTGGACATGACCTGAGTACTGCCTTTAGATGTAGGCTGCTCCTACAATGTTTTTTTTTTTTTTTGATAACTAAGATGGTATTAGAAAGCATTCAAATGGGGAGCTTACCCCGCAAAAGCTAAACTCTAAATATGACAGTGGATCAAGCGGCTACTATTATGCTGCTTATTAAAGCATGACTTGCATTGATGGTGTGGTTCTGCCATGATATGTAGGATATTTCCACATGTATTTTAACATCTTGACCTTACTTGGCATCTTCATCCTGCCACTATAACCTTTATGAGGCCGTCTTCATTTGTAGTGGACCTATCCATGCAATTCCCTATCTCTGTGTATAAATTTATGCCTTTTTGCCTGCATGGTCAATAGGACAATCAGGAGCGATGTACACAAGCATGCCTTTGCTACCCCACTGCTGGTTCCATGGTGTGCTGCCATCTACATTTATTGGGGCCATCTTATCCCATATCACACGTTCTGTGCATATTCTATCCTGACATCTATTTATATACATAATATGTGAAATCATGTATATGCGAAGCCATATGTTTATGAAGACAAAGGCATTTTCTAAAGAAAATTCTTTTTCTTTAAAAAAAAAAGAAAAAAGAAACGAAAAGAGAACTTCTTTCTTTTTTGGCATTTGAAACTTTCTTTCTTACTGACCTAGTACACCTTAACTCAATTTAAGTAATGACTTGAACTAATCTGTAGACTCCCTCATTTCATTCTAAGAATAAATCTCTGCCACACTTAACCTATTTTCTTACTCTGTGTTCTTAGAAAACCTTTTGATCAAAAGTGAGTTGTGACAGCCCTAATTAGACATATAGAGATCTCAAGTATGCGGTTGTTTCTTGTACTTCAATTTTGACAAAGCCTGCATGTAATCACACCATGATTAATTCTGAAATTGATATTATTTTTTTAGGGGGTCAGGGTTCAAGTGAGGAGTGTGTACATTGAAGGTCGAAGTCAGCCTTCGAAAGGCCAGTACTTTTTTGCTTATAGAATAAGAATTACCAATAACTCAGACCGGCCTGTTCAACTTCTCAGAAGGCACTGGATTATCACTGACGGAAATGGGAGAACTGAAAATGTTTGGTAAGTAGTGAGTTTTGAACTTCTTTTTCTGTTTTCACATTTATATTATCTTGTGTATGCTTGTGTTTGTATGTGGGTGTGCGAGTGTGGGAGCAATTGCTCTTTCTTTGCTCGAGTTATCTATCCACTTCCTTATGCAGGGGAATCGGAGTTATAGGTGAACAGCCGGTTATACTTCCCAACACTGGTTTTGAGTACTCATCTGCATGCCCATTAAGCACTCCCAGTGGGAGAATGGTAAGATGTGGAATCTTGATTTCTACCTTCTTCCATGCATAAGTTTACAATTTATCCAAAAAAGGTAGTAGAAGGAATGTTTTAGGCTTGCCTGCACCCTATGTTGTGTTTGGTTGGAGGGTTTTGTAGAGATGGAGGGACATGGAATTAGAGGAAAGGAAAATAGAGATAGTCCCTCCAGGCCCATTTTTTCTTTCCTCCCAAAAAATGGGAGGATTTGGGAAGAAAGCAATAGTTAGTGATTGTTATGCAGCTTCTTTTTCCACTAGTACCAGCTTGTTTTGTCCTTTTAACTTGCAAATTGAAATATTCCTTCCTTTTTCTTTTGAAATCAATGGCCGTACTTTTCATGACCTTGTATTTTATGTGGTGTAGAAGTAATAAAATATTGTACGCTGCTTTGATGGCTCCCACACCAAATGCAAGCTTAATGCCACAAATATTGCTTTCAAAGAAAAAGAAAAAGAAAAAAGTAGTTCTATACACTGTTGTACATATATCTGCATATCGGCAAGATTAAATGCGCTGTTCTATGATAACCGGTTATATTTGGAGCTTCATCTCTCTTTGAAGTTACTCATGATGGTGTTATGTCTGGTTTATTACCTTGTAGGAGGGTGACTTTGAGATGAAACATATTGATAAAGTAGGATCACAGACATTCAATGTGGCTATTGCCCCCTTTTCTCTCTCCACATACGAAGATGGCACTGATACATTTTGAGTCCTGAATTGTGGCACTGCTTAAGAGAGATGGAAAATGCATTGTCAAAATGTACGAAGCTTCTATCAAAGCAAGAGAGCAAAAAGCTGTAATTTAGTGTCAGAGAAGTTGACATATATAGAGATGTAAAGTTTCTTTTTTATTTTTTATTTTTTATTTTTATAAATATAGGATAAGAATTCAATGTAGTTGTATTTGTGTGTCATTGTGGAACTTCATTGTCGATATTATGTATTGCCATCTACGAAAGAATTCAGTGTCTAGACTCTAGAGATGAATGTATATATACATCACGACAGTATCAAATGAAACTATGTTGACCTTTACTGAATGGAACTCCAATAGCCCCAAATGTGGATGCAATATATTCAACTAAATTAGCATTTTTACTTTATGTTTATACCAAGTGAATCACAAATTTCTGTGTCAGGACGGAAGGTTAAATCATCAAGCATAGGAACCATCCAGTTGTTCTGTTGAAGAGAACAGTCTGCCTTTAAAAGCGTTGGGCAGGTCATTCAAGTACAGGTTTGTCGATTACTCTGTAAATGTGTAAAAACTTGGATGTTTCAAAGTTCAAATATTTGTTTTTGGCTCATAGGAGGGTGATGATTAGCATGATAAGATTTGCATAGGGTGTTTTTCTTTGCCTTTTGCTGATATGGTTCCTCGAAATGAACTGACTGGTTAGTTTGGCAATTTGTTATCTCTTTAGCCCATAAACTGCTGAAAACAAGGAAAAACACTGCACAATCCATTTGGCCATTCTCATGAACATACCTGAATTTGAGCTATCCAAACCATTTGGTTTTGTTTATGAACTTGTAAAATTGCCTATCCCATTTGCACAGACCATTATTTTTTTTTCTCTTCTATCTTGAAACACCATCAGGAACTTGGTTGGATTTCCTTTGCTAGTCAGCCTTTCTCTACATACATACATAAATACACGCCTGTGTGTATATATATATATAGACACACACATTTATATCCTTACTACAATTATAAGTATAATAAGTATAAGGAATTTCTATTTTTTATATACATATTTAATACCTTTTTATTTATTTAACTTAATTAAACTCCTGTTTACACACACAAACACACACACACACATATGCTATAAAGCTCAGTCTTCCTTAATTCTTGAGAACTCTACGTCTTCCTTCTAATCAGATCGGAAATACTGAGAATTCCTCTCTAAGCTTTTTTTTGCCCTAAAGCTCTAAGCTTTTCTCTCTCTCTTTAGTGTTCAGATGCGGATTCTGAAAGTACTCCAATTTATATTTACACACATACATCTATGCCAGACTGGATAGACTTGGTTGATCTGAAGGGGGTGGAGCCCTAACCATACCGGATAGAAAAGGGTTTGTCGTCACAAAAGTTGCTGCTAGTCTAGGATTAATGTGGTTTTAATTAATGCTTGGCAGTGTGTAAGCTAATGCCTGCAAAGTTGCCTTTATCAATCAGTGTAAGCATGACTTTAATATAAACCTGATTCTGTAACTGCTAGCAAAATGATTTTGTTCTCCATGGAAATTCTTAGCAAAAGCCATATTAAATGTTGTACTTCTTTTGGTCTAAGGGTTGGGTTTTGAGGGATTCAGGGTTGGAATTGATCCTTGTCTGTGTCCCTGTTCTATTCACATGTTGCTAGCCCAAAACCCGTGTAGATATTGTCTGCCTTGCACACACTACTCTGTGCGCACGGTTTTGCTCAAAACGCGTTTATATGGTTTAGGGGTGTACATACAACAACTTTTTTCCTAGGCACGTGAGTTTGAACTAAATTTTTTTCGATCCAAAATTCAAAACACCAACTCGGTGCTCCCAAATATAGTATTAATTCATTCATAATGAAGTGTTGATTGGGTCTCTTATATATTTGTCGAGATCATATTGCTTCCATTTTCTCATATTATTTGATATGTTTTTCTCTGGAGTTTAATTTGTTTTTTCAGATGTGGTTGAGATGGTTATATGTAAAACCCTTAAAAAATATATTCCCCTTGTACCTTTGTTTGTTTCTCTCAACTATAATATTAAAAGACGAATTTATGCATGATTACTCTCTTATGGAGTCCTTATATTCTTTGTTGTCTAAGTAATTATATTTATCGATTTTTAAGTAATATTCTGCATAAGCAAGTTAAATTTCTCTTAATTTTTTTAGTAAACTACACACACACACACACACACACACACACACAAAAGGGGGGAAACTTGATATTTTTAGTAAATATCAATTTACCTTTCTGATCTTAAACCAAAAAGGAGGAAACTTCTTTGGGAGAGTGTGACCAAAACAGTCAATTCTAAGCACAGTAAAAGCTAAAGCTATGCATTTGCAAGAATCTAAGGAGAGTGCTAAATTTATAATAAAGACGGAATGTACTCTGCTTTTTGAGTGGTCCGGTTTTGAAGAAATTTTTTCATGGTGCTAGACTGTATCGTCCCGGTGAATCACTGTGTTTGTTAAATAGTTAAATTGAACTTATTCCTTTGTTTTATTTTTTTATAATATGGTATTATTTTTATATCAATAAGATTAATTCTTAGTTAAGATCAATAGCTGATTGGTTCTTGTACATAAATTCAATTAAGGATCACAATTGATTGAGATCAAACTCTATTATTAGTAACATTATATCCAATACAAAGTTATGTATTTTATATATCATATTAGTTGTAGATGGATTATATTCAAACGCACGTGTAATTTTTACTAGCATATATATATATATATATATATATATATATATATATATTTACATATATGTGCTTCCATGGTCCTGCATCTATCAACATATACTGTGAAATGTAGTATCAATGAGGAACTAAAATCGTTTTTAGCATGCATTTGTTGTACAGTGGAGTGGACGATGGAGATCACCCTATCAACAGTGCGAATCGAATATGAAAAAATATCAAAACAAACTCTATTAGATTTTAGGTCTCTTGTGTCTGTCTCATTAGGAAACTTCTATTGTTGTCGACATTAGGTTATATGCACATGAACCAATTTATGCTCTATCTGGCCTTCAAGAGAAAGGATAATTTTTGTACTATTTGAATAAGACTCCAATCTTGTTATCCTCTCCATCTTTTTTGGCAGCCACTTAGGACTATTCAGCATTATTATCCCTAAAATTATTTAGTGAAAAAGGTGGTTTAAAAATATTGAGAAAATGAATCTTCACTTAGATTATATAATAAAACAAGGGTACGGTAAGTTTGTTTCATTGTGACCTGTAGTCATGTTTTTGAAATAAGAAACAATTTTTCCGTACACAAACATAAGACTTAGTACATTAAACCTCTCTAGGCCTACAGTGACCAGTGTCCCGTTGTAACGGGTGGACGCTTGCCTATTTACCCAAAAGTTCGAACTATTGGGTAATGTTGCATACCCACCTATTTATACCTAATCATTTTCCCATCCGATTTCGATGTGGGACAAATGACCCTTGTTACATTCTCCTCCACCCAAACTCGCAACGCCCTCGTTGCGGTTCGGGCCACCCTGCCTACCCAGGATGCTAGCCCGAACGCCTTCCGGGTCGGGCGCTTGGCGTGAAACCGGATCAAGGATTAGGTCTGACTTTGATACCAACTGTAACGGGTGGGCGCTTGCCCATTTACCCAAAAGCTCAAACTATTGGGTAATGCAGCATACCTACCCATTTATACCCAATCACTTTCCCATCCGATTCCGATGTGGAACAAATGACTTTTGTTACACTCGTGTACTAGACTAGTGTTACAAGGGGTCATTTGTCCAATATCGGATCCTGATAGAAAAATGATTGGGTATAAATGAGTAGATATGCAATACTACCCAATAACTTGAGTTTTGGATAAATAGGCAAGCGCCCTTCCGTTACAGTTGGTATCAGAACTAGATTCATTCCTTAATCCGGTACCATGCCAAGCACCCGGCCAGGAAGGCGTCCAGGTGAGCCACCCCAGATAGGCAGGGTGGCTCGACCGCAACGAGGGTGTTGCGAGTTTGGGTGAAGGAGAATGTTACAAGGGGTCATTTGTCCCACATTGGATCCGAATGGAAAAGTGACTGGATATAAATAAATAAGTCTGTAGCATTACTCAATAATTTAAATTTTTAAATAAATAAAAAAACGCCCACCCGTTACAACTAATCCTTATTTTTTGTTTTAACATTAACAAATATCAAATAATGTGTGCTTTTGTCCATTAGTAGTTGAACCCTTTAGAGTCAAGTAATGTAGGCCCATAACAGATGTAGTTAAAGCAAACAACAAAGTACTTCAGGAGCATTATATTGGCAATAAACGGGAATATGTTACAACAATGCAATTATTGTTCCATAATTAAACCCTAGATTCTTATCATGTTAATTTTACATTATCCTTGATCCAACGATATAATTCCTCCTCCTTTGTAAAAAGACAGTAAAGATAGAGAGCTCCACATCAAACTACATTTATGTGAGTGAAGAATGATATAAATTAATGATGTCATCCCTCACTCACATAGTGCTTATTTCTCTAAGCTGTTACTGGTAAATGAAATTTAATTAAAAAATATGACTAAATAACTATTTTATTGATGAATAAAAACAGAAAAAAAAAATTATTTTGTTTTTTATCCTAACAACCTAAGGGAGGGGGACTCAATTACGGGTTGGGTATACTCACTCGGAAGATGGACGCTCTTTATCAATTATGTCACTGGATAATAAATATTGTCCAAAATATAAATTAAAAGGTAAAATATTATTATTATAGTAGTAAAGTTTTTCTGATTAAAAATGATGAAATTTCAAAATAAATGAAAAAAAATTGCACCACAAAACCTTGGGGAAAAAGTTAGATTGCGGGCAAAGTAATAATGCGTTTGCGTCGACGTCGGCCCCTTCAATCACGCGTGCACCAACAGTGGTACGCTGTGGCTTGTGCATTAGGGTTTGCTTAGTGGCCACGCTTGCCAAAATCTTTGCTTGTCTTTAATTAGACTCTCAGTTTTCACACACATTCGTCAAATATTAGTCCACAATATATTGATTATCCCGTCACATTCAGTTAGTTATCACTTCAATGACACGTTTATAATTATGAATGAAATTGTTTAATTAATTTATATTATATTGAAAGAATTTTTGATAAACTCTTTAAATATATAGTATGGCAAAGAAGTCTGGATGATGGTTATTAATATTTATGATGTTATAAATACATAAAATTAATCGAATTTTTTCTATTTGTCGAAACTTTCTTATCATTATGAAATGAGAATAAAGCTTTTGAGATCGTGTATGGGTACTTATATTATATAAGTTTGCAGAGTGAAAAATCACATACTTATGTGATAAATTTGTCGAATACGGTGCTATATTTGTGTTACATCGAATCCCAAATCTTGTTATAGTCTTAAAAAAAAAATAAATATTGAATGCATCAGGCACCATGTACCGAGCTCATTCGAACAGTAATTGTTGTTCAAGCATCCACACGTATTATGCCTTATCCGGTCTAACGAATTTCTTTCCCTAAGTACACACTTTGATGTTTCTAACATGCAGACAAAACTTTTGTGGTCGCACCCGCAATCCCCGGCGTGGACCCGCATTGAGTTGGTCCGGTGTGGCGGTGCACCTGATATGACTGGTGCCCACTCTCTGTTTTTCACCATGTGAACTACTATTAAAATGAATACATATACAGGATTCTCATGTCTTAATTGCCTACTTTCAATAGCCATAAAAAGGTGTGAAAAATAAAAAAAATAAAATAAAAAGCAAGAGGAAATAAATATGTTAATCATGATAGATGAATTGTGGCAAATCAACGGCCCAGATGATCAGTCGGAAAAACAGAGACTTTATTTGACTCCAATTTGGTGGTGTTCAGTTGCTTTATTCCTTTATTGGAGCACAAGAAATAAGCTATTATTTGAATTTATTATTATTATTATTATTTGTGCATTCAAAAAGCATCTCCAACTCCAAGCAACCCAACACAAAATCCACAGTGATTGAAACCACTTTCTCTCTCTACAACAATATCAATAACTAGAAAGACTAAAAAAGACCGGTATAATATTGGAAAAATGTGACATAACCACCAACCTTCACGTCTAAGAATTTTATATTTGCATGGTCTTATAGAGATTGTGACATGAGACTACAATAGAGTCTTTATTACCAAATCTTATAGGGATAAGAAATATATATATTTATATATATATATATAGAGAGAGAGAGAGAGAGAGGCTTATGCTCAAAGCACACCACCCTTTTATCTCTCTCTCTCTCTCTCTCCAAAGCAAAGAAGCAAAGCATCTCTTCTCACACAATTGCCTTGCTTTCCCTTGTAAGTATCTCACCTTTCCTTTGCTTGCAATTAACAACATAGCTTCTTCTTCTTTTCATATCTCATTCAATTTAATATTGTGTGTATATGTCTTTCTGTGCAAATACAGGCTCAAATTCTTATATGAGTTTTGTTTTTATTGAAACCCTCCATTGACAGTGAATTTTATGAGAAACCCATTAATGATTTGGTCGTCTTCTTCTATATTTTCTTTCCTAAATGTGGTCTGATTGCATATCAAAAGTTTGTGGTGTCAAGAGTTGGTTCTTGTGTTCTTCATGAATTGGGGTTCTAATTAGTCCCTGAATTCAACTGTGTGTTTGGGATTTGAGCATTTTCATCTTCTCATTTCTTCAAAATTATTTTTCTAATTTACATGTAAAACTTTTTATTTAATCCTTTGTGACAGAGCACATTTGAAACTCTAATTTTTCTAATTCATTTTGTTTTTTTCAAATTTTCTAGGATTTCATTTGTTACAACAAAAATTGTTTTGTCAAATTTGTAGTGGGTGAATTGATTTTCTTTTCCCATTCTTTCCAATTATTTTGTTAGAAGTTCTTTGATTTTTTCAAAAAATTTGTTTGAATTTTTATAAAGGCCACTCATTTTTTTTACTGATTATTTTCTATTTTTTTTTTTTTTTTGTCTTTCTATTCAAATTCCAAGTTAATTTCCCATTTTGGAAAATAAATCACCCATTGAAAAAAAAAGGAACAATCAGAGGTGAAAAAAGAAGTAACACCATGGATTTCTTAACAGGATCATCAAAAAGTTCTTGGCAGCCAGTCATGACTACAGATACAACCACCTCAAGTTACTGGCTAAACTGGAGAGTCACTCTCTGTTCCATATGGATCTTAGCGTCAATGGTTTTTGCTTCCTTTCTTATCTCGAAATACGAAGGCCCCAAAAATTGGAAACAAGGGAGCAGAGAAGACGGGCAAGAACACGCTGCAATGTTGTATGATGATGAAGTCTGGAGGCCTTGTTTTAAAGGAATGCATCCTGTTTGGTTGCTGGCATTTCGCGTGGTTGCATTCGTCGTGCTTTTGGCACTTTTGATCATAACTGCTGCTGTTGATGGTGATAGCATTTTTTACTACTATACTCAGTAAGCATCTTTTTTCTTGAACCAATTTCATATACTGTTTAATAAATGTATACAGATTGATTAAATGGGGGATTATGAAATTTATTTATATTTTGTTTAGCATGACATAGAGAATCTTGTGTTTATATAATTGCCTTGTTATATACATACACAAATACATTCAACTTTTTTGTCAGGACTTTCTCGTTGTCATTCATTTTTCCGATTTCCTCTGTAATTAAGTTAAACAAGAATGAGTCTTTCCTTTAAAAGCATTTTCGATCGAGCATCACTGACTTTCCTAACTTGTAGAGTTTTCACATGGAGAAATGGCAGCTTTTGCTAACTAAAGGATTTTCGGAACAATTATAAAATGCAAAAATTGAACTTTGGCTTCTTTGCTGTGAGTTTGGTTCTGCCTAAAGTTGAATTTATATATTTTTTTATGTACATTATAGAGTTAAAAGGAGTTACTTGAATGGGAAGATTCACTAAAATAAGTTTAAATATTCATTCAAGGAGGCTTTGTGAAATGCTAGTATTATTCTCATGACATAAAGCATAATTTTATCATTATTTATCTGACAATTAGTGATATTCGGTGTTGAACAGATGGACATTTACACTGATCACCGTATATTTTGGGGTATGTTATCAACCTTCGCAACAGCATTTTGTTTAATTTTTTTCCTTATGTTACATGACTTGTTCTTTATATCACTATACAAGCTTAAACTAGGTCTTGTTTCTTGTATATTTAGCTCGGATCTTTGCTCTCAATGTATGGATGCTACCAATATCACAATCAAGTTGGTGGAAGTAGGATCGATAATGGGGACTTTGATGCCGAAAATGGCACCTATGCAGAAAACTCAAATGTAGCAAAGTGCTCGGGCCCCAATGCAGAACATCATGTTCGCCAAACAGCAGGCTTTTGGGGCTATATCTTTCAAATTATTTTCCAGGTGAATTCCTGAAAACCAGTAATCGCTGCTAGTTTCCGGTTATATCTTCCAAATTATGATTGAATCTCCCCCATGTATATATATATATATATACACCCTTTTTTCTTCCTAAAGATGATATTTTATTCAGCCTAAATGATTGATTTTCAATTTCAGGATGATATGTTGCTAAGTCGAATTTGTCTCCCTCTGTTTAGTCCCCTATCTTTCATGCATTTATATATATATATATAAATGAAGTGTTCTTACGCTCCATGATGAAGCGCGATGTCATTCATAATTAGATGAAATAGGGGAACCAAACAGGGCGCAGTTGGACAAATCTAAATATTGTGAATGTTTCTTGTTTCGAGATGGAAAAAAGTTGATTAATTGCGAAATCAGTATTATCGTAGTTTCTTTTGCTTCCATACAACAGGTTGTTGACCTTTTCTTTTCTTCTTTCCAATATAGATGAATGCAGGAGCTGTGATGCTTACGGACTGCATCTTTTGGTTCATAATCGTACCATTTCTTGCAATCAAAGATTACCATCTGAATTTTGTGAGTAATCTATGCTGCCTCAATTTGTTTAATTCATAATTATTTGGATTGTATCTAAACAAGATTCTTGCAGAATTTTATTGTGGATTATAGTGATAATATTTGCTGTTTTTGTAACATTAGGCTTTGTTAAACATGAATCATAGACCTAGAGTATATATCCCAATAATGAAAACTTGATGTTAAACAAAACAAAACAAAACAAGAAGATTCACAGTGAAATGAACCATAGACCTCCTCTGGTAGAATGTGAGTTAAATGATTAGAACTTCGGATAATAATTAAAGTGATCACATTCTTCTAAGGTTGGACCCTCCCCATAACAATGTATTCTTAAATTATAAGTTCAAAAATATTATGGAGGAAGAAAAATTAAAAAAGTGGTATGAAGAAGAAAGGTATCTAAAATTTTTTATTACCCAATATGGTCAATTCTTGATGGCTAGAATTGCAAAGATAGTACCTCTGATTTGTTTCTGAACAATGTTTTTAATCTCTGAAATTGCAGTTGATTATAAATATGCATACGGTCAATGCTGTTTTCCTGTTTGGTGATACCGCTATGAATAGCTTAGTAAGTTGCAGCTCCTTCATGGTTTAAATTCATAGTCATATGCCAACCTTCTTTTTATTACTTAATTTTGAATTACTTTTAATTTCCTTTCAGCGGTTCCCTTGGTTTCGAATTGCATATTTCTTCCTGTGGACGGCTATTTACGTCATTTTCCAATGGATCGTCCATGCCTGTGTCTCGCTCTGGTAAACTAGTCTCTTTTTCTGCCTCACTATTCACCAGGAACATCTATGTTTCAATCCTCATATAACAATAACTATGTGCAACAGGTGGCCATATCCATTTCTTGACTTGTCGTCTCCATTTTCTCCAATATGGTACGTTCTCTTGAAAAATCACCTCCTTAAGCAGTAAATTTTGAATAAAATATAAAAATAAATAACAGGTTCGACTGACATGGTGACACATATTTAAAACGGAAATGAAAATCTTTTCAAGTGTTCAATTCACCTTCTTTTACATGTAATTCATTTTTTTTGGAAACTATTCATGACAAATGAATAGGTCTAAAGACCAAATACTTCATTTTTTCAAATCCCAAAAATTCTTTTAAAATTTTCATGTCACTAGATATACTTCCTGAAATCCAAGAATCATCCATTAGTGTTTCGGTTAACCACATGAATTATTAAGTTGATTTTTTTTTTTTTAATGAATTGTTTTGCAGGTACTCGTCGGTGGCATTGATGCATATACCATGCTATGGTATTTTTGCCTTGATTATGAAGCTGAAGCACTATCTGTTGTCAAAATGGTTCCCTCACACCTACCGGTGTGCAAAGTAATTAGTTTCAACTGAATTTTTTATGTGGGATGAAACTAATTTCGTAGTCTAGAAAAATTGTGAAACTCCTCCATGGGGGAAGCAAGGTACAGAACAGAAGAGGAAGAAGGTGTCCATATGGTTAATAAAGAACATTTATGAATTTAAATGTTATGACAAGTCACACACACCTGTAAGTTTTGCTTTGAGGGATATACAAAATTTGTTAATCAGTGTAAACTTTCTCAGTTTTAAGATGACCCTTTCATGAGGAAGTGACACAGTTGTAAGTAATACATAGATGTTGTGAAAATTTATAAGAGAAATTCTTTTTTTCTTTTTTCAGAATGTGTGAAATTCTTAATCTTCTGTCTCTCCTTTTTCATATAAATTCACTCCGCAATCTTTCTTCTTCTTCTTTATTTATTTTTATTAATTTTGTGTGTGTGTTTATCTGTTCAGATATTGATTATATAGACCAAGGGATGTGATGTGGTATCTCTCTTGTTCCAAAGTGAAAGTAGATAATTAGAGTTTTCCCAAGAGCATTGTGGGAGCTCTTTCTTAGCGGAAAAAAAAAATGATTAAATAAATCAAGGCCTGTGATCTAATATTATCTCTCTTCTTTTAAAGTGAAAGTCAGATGATTCAAGTTTTTTCAACAGGATTGAGAGAGTTCTTTGTTAGCGAAAAAAAAAAAAAAAAAAAAAAATTATATAAGAAAATGTGGACTAGGCACTGCCCACCAACTTCCGTCCCTTTGCATTATGACATGTTTTATGGGCTGTTTCAATGATAAAAAAAAGTAATTAATATAGTTGATTCAGAATTATTATTATTATTATTATTTTGTTAGTAAAGTATTACACATGCCCACGAGAAGCTGGATTATCATTAGTGTTCATATGTTCGTGTGTCACGTCTTGTGTCATTACATCTTTTATGTAATCTATCATAGTGCATTGCACTACCAATATACTAGTGACACATGATCAAAAAATAGATACTCTCAAAACATGAAACATGAAACGCTTATTCAACAACTACGTTGTGATAATGCATTCACATGACCAAAGCACGGAGAGAGTCCATATTCTTCCCATAAATGTCTATCATAAGGGTTGAATCCAAGGAGAGCAGAGGAGAGGTTATACTCCATAGTCCAATGAATTAGTGGTTACACTTGCCAGGGACTGAGCCACTTTATTGTGCCCACTGTAATTTTTTCTTTAATTTTTTCTTGAATTAGTCCATATTTTTTCTTTAATTTTTTTTATTATTATATTCCACTAATTTTTCTTATTTTCAATTATATATTTATAAAATTTTCACTTTGCCCCCTTTAAATTACAAAAAAAAAAAAAATTGCATTAAATTCACTCCCCCCTTCTCTCCCTCTCCCAACTTCTTGGATTCGTCCTTAACACTTGCACATGAATACACGAGCACACTCATGTCTTACCAACTAAGTCTCTGAATAATGCCGAATCAATGATTAATTCATAAAATTGTTGATATACTAATAAAACCACTTTATTTTATCATATAGTAAATTAATATACGACACCAAACAATATGCAAACCCTAGGTGTTAAAGTGATCTTTCATCGGCCATGTTTGTGCCCTCTACTTGGATCACGCCGGTCAGAAAGGATTCAGTCAAAGACGGTGAAGAATCATGACTTCTTTTCACTTTACAACACATTCATTTTAGGATATAAAGCTCTACCAACAATGCCATTCTATTAGGAGCAAAACTCCTTAGCTATAAGAATAATAATGACATAAAGTCTATCAGTCGGTCAATCCTGACAAGGGTAGGAGATGAGGTTAGTCCCTATTCATATAAATCGGTTAGATTTATTGAACTCTAAATTATTTTTTTCGAAATTGGCACCCCAAGACATCATGCAAAGCGCCACACGCAAGTCAATAAAGTTTGGACTTCTACTAGCATACGTGGTCCCAAAAAATTGTTTGCGCTCAAGGAAGTCGAACTTTGAACTTTGATACATCCGAGGCAGACCTAGAACTTTAGGTAAGCGGGACCAAGGCTAAAATTTTGTAATAAGTTCAAGGGGGTATTAGCAATATTTTAGGAATAAATATTGAAAAAAAAAAGAAAAAATAGCATGGTACATTAGTAAAAAATTAAAAATTTAGGGACTTGACCCTTTCACTTACTACTATCACTTACTACTAGATCCGTTCTTGAATATGTGAGGCACCAAGTCAAGTGATCAACATATTAAATAAACCCGTTGAGATTAACCCTAAATCATCTTCTTAACTATAATCATCTAATATTACAATTCACTCAAGACAAGTGTAATTTTCAAACACATTATAGGTTAATTACAAAATAATATAAAATTTTAACAAATATAGTTAATTAGCTTATCTCCTAAAGTCAAAATAGAATTCAAAGTCCTGTGAATGTGGTGCACAAGAAGACTGCAATGCGTAACCAACGTGTTCAATAATTCTCCTTCATAACGCCGGTCGCAGCCACCTGGGGTTCTCCACACGCAGCGGAACCCAAATTCCAACACCTGGTGTCCGATATCAAACCCTCTCTCACATCACTTTCTCTCTCTAGAATATACAACAGTACCTATATATAACACCAGAAATTGAAAGGGCTATGGGATCGGTATTCAGTTCGAGGGCCATAACCAAAGAAGAACTAGAAATGGCTCTGTCCAAGGCTAAAGAGATCGTCTCCTCCAACCCTGTAGTCGTCTTTAGGTACTTTCTCTCTCTCTCTATATATGCATATCTATATGTAGGATTCAATTATTCATCGTGGGAACAAATTTAATTTTAGGGTGATTGAAATGGACAAAATTTGGAATAAAAACACCCCTCCATCCGATTTTGAAAGCAAAAATTTGTGTTTCTATGGAATCAATCATTAGTATTACTGAACTGTTTTGTTATACATGGTGTTCTTGGTACATGTATTGCAATTTCCTTTTATCATTTTTATGATAAAGTAACTCAACTTTTTCTTCATTATTATTATTATTATTATTATTTATCTTGCCTTATATATTAGATTTTAGTGTTCAACTGAAATTAGAATAAATTTTAATGACATGGAAGGGATTTTTTTTCTTTTTATTTTTATTTATTTTTATTTTTTATTTTTTTAATGTATAAGTCCTGCTAGAATATTAACATTTTTCTAATAACTATTCTCAAAGATAATTTGAATAAAATTATATTGCTCTAGTTGGTTGTTGGAAATGCAACATTCATATCATTAACTACAATTACTTGTGCTTGTGGTGGAGATTCTGTTTTCCTAGAATTGTATGAGATTGTGATCCATTTACCATCAAACCACATTGTAATTGGCCTCCTCTTGTCCTTAATAGTTCTTTACTTAAATCAAAATCACCTTCTCAGTTAGTGGACACATGACCCTCTGTTACACATGACCAAGATCCTTAGGGTCTGTTTGGTTAAATGGAAACTAATAGTGGAAAGTAAACTTTCGAACATGCATTTGATTAGGATGATTATTTTTTTCCCCCTAAAGAGAGTAATGGAAAATTATTCATGCTTTAGAATGCATGAAATTTACAAGAAAGAGTGTTATTGTAATTTCAAGAAATCAAAATTTTCCTATGTTTTGTGCAAGGAAATTTCATGAGAATTTAAGTAGTTATGGAAAATCATTTTGCTTCAATATTTTCCTTTCCTGCTATCCAAATTCTAAAGGGTTTAAAAAATTCATTTCCTTTCATTTCTTTCTATTTCCATCTAATTAAATGGAACCTTAATGATGTTCATCTTGTCCATAATATGTGCAACCTATAACTTCTCATGAATGCATTTAATTTTTTATTTTGTGTTCTCTTGTCTAGCCACTCAATCATCCCCATATTCTCATGTATCTTTCACTTATATTTGGAATATGTACCTTGGGTATGCTTCATTCAATAACACAAAACACAAAAAATAGTTGCGCCCCAAATTTTTTGAATATTTTAATTTTTTTAGAGGTTTCCTCTTCATAGTACCATACATTTCCTCTTCATAGTTGCTTCGACCTTATGATATACTTTATAAAACCTGTTTCTAACTTCTCAAGTTTGTTACATGAATCATATTTGTCCATGTTTTGTCTAAGGCCATAATCTCAGTCAAACCACATTTTATCATATTTTTCTTTAGTAACTCTACCATATTAATTCTAGTCTTTTCAACTCTTAGTATTACTCTAAATGTGGACCATGTCATTCTTCCTAATTGGATGCACTTAATGACGTTCTTTATATATGTTCAAACCATCTTAATCAATTTTTTCTCATTTATCTACAACAAGTTATAATTGAACCTTCTCACGAATGTATTCATTTATATTTTAATCCTTTCTTGTCAAGTCAGTATGTCACACATCCATTTTAGCATTTGCATTTCCGTCACATTTACTTGATGAATATGTTGTTTCTTAGCTGCCCAACACTTTACTTCATATAGAATGGCTCGTCTAATTGCTGTTTTATAGAACTTCTCTTTCTTTTTGTTTTTTATTTTTCAGCAAGTGAGATAAGAATTTTATTGATCAACAAGCAACAGAAACAAAAATCGCACAATTCTCTGAGTGCAATCCTCCATTTAATCCATCCTTCCTTGATTCTTGATTAGCAATATCTCCAAATTCTCTTTCTTTGTGAATAATTGGGCCCAAAGCGCGGAAATGTTCAGATCCTCAATCTTCATGAATTTTTATTTATTTTTTTATTTTTAAATTTACCGAAGTTGTACTTGATATATGCAGTTGTATTTATCTTATATCAGTTTAATTTTAGAGCATTTTTTCAAACTTCAGTTTAGTACTCACCCCTTTTCTAGTTTCATCAATAAAAAAATATATTATTAGCAAGTAACATACATTGAGGTCTCATGTCTTTCTTCTTTTTTGTATGTTTCCATCAGCCTCAATAAATAAATAGCCTTTGTTGTTGACCTCCCCTGACATATATCCAAATTGATTTTCTGACACTTAAGTTTGGAAGTGTTAATTAGACTAGCAAATGAGTTGTGTAAAAATAGGTCTGGTAACTTTGTGAGCAATAATTCTAATGAAATATATTTTTATTATATACTATTGTAATAGCATGTTTGGCAATTTACATTGTGGTTGGAATGTCTAAAAGCAATTTTAATTTGAAAGTTCACTTTCAATTGTGTCTGGTGGCCAAAAAAACAAAAGGTACATTTTAGTGGTATATATTTTGGACCTAGTAGAACTTTTGGCCAAAACTCAAATGTGGGGCCTTTTGAATTGCATTTGCATGTAGAGGTGAAAATTTATAGAATGAATCTACTAATGGAAAGGGAATATTTTTGAGAAGTGCTTAATGTATTGCATCGCTATTCACACGCATCACTTTTTTACCTTTCAAGATAAAAAAATGCTTATGACAAGTTACAACAACGCCAAACATGTACGAAGCAGAAAAAAATAATAAAATTCTAGTATATCTATTTTAGGACTTCTCCTTACAGACACATATCCCCAAAATAACTCGCATTCATGAAATAAATATGAAATTGATATGATAACTAAGTTAAAATGCTCTCACATTTACCAATCAAGTATTTGTACATCTGACTACATTTCCTTTTGGCAGTGCGTACTTACTGCAAACTGTGTCTTCTCTGTCTCAATTCTCAAAATAATATATTGTAGCCCCCTTCTCTATCTCACGAGTGACCTCATCACTTCTAATTATTCCCTTCAACCACCTTTTATCAATTATTCCCTTCAACCACCTTTTATCCAAACTACATTGCAACCATTAATCTCCACCTCTTTTTATAGTTGGTTGGGAAAGGGTAAAATGATCCACTAACAATTTGGAAACCTATCATGAAATAAGAAAGTTAAATGTTGGTAAGATCTAACCTAAATCAAATCTACTGATGCCTACCAGCATGCTGAGAGCAGTCATTTTGTGCAGTTATTGACAAAAATTAGGTCTTTGTGTAGCCTAATCCTAGTATCCTTTATATTGCACTCGATTAATGGGGCTAACTTGGGTAATGACTCTTTCTTACCCTATCTTACCTAAATCAAGTGAAAATCGGGGAGAGAAAAACAAAGAATTGAATGTATTGTTTAAATGAAATATATAAACTCTTTAAGAATGCAAGTTTTGATCTTGTTTATTATAATTTATGCTCAGTAGACATAATATTAGTGTGTGATTTTGGTTAGTGGGAAAGTTAAAATTGTAGAGAAAGTTGAATTTTTATTTTTTTTGCAAAGATAAGTTTATAAACCCGACACACCAAAATTGCAGTTAAGATGCCCCAACAGCACGTAGAGGCCCATAGCAAACTATAGAGCTTGTTACAGCTCTAACTTTTAGGGTAACTGACATATCTGCCCATGATGGATCTTTCTAATTTTTTTCTCCTCCTTTTGTATTAAGATCTGCATCAGGCACTGATATAAATGATCGTAATGCACTGGCATTGCCACAACGATCAGTTTCACTCTTGAAATGATTTCTGTAATTGACCAACTACCAAAAATGCTTTAAAGTTCATTCCTCCAAGAAGCCCACACTTTAGTCTTCGTGTTTCAGCAGACTCATATTCTTATGTACGCGATACTTTGCCAAGTAATTTCCTTCTGCTTCAGCATTTGTTCTAATCCCCTACATATTTTAATTTCCATTTCTATGGTTTGTTTGAAAACTGTTGTAGGGGGGTATGGGAAAGTCTTTATTTTACTTCCGTATATGCTTTAGAGCTCGCTATGGCCAGAGCCTTGTGCACTAAGTTAGCCCTATTTACTTTAGAACTTGGTGCTCTGTTTTTATTTTATTTTATTTTTTGAATTCGGAAAAGAGGAGAAAGAGGAGAGAGAGACCATTCACCGGTAGCGAAGCTTGGTTGGTGGGACAACAAGAGAGTAAAAAATGATCGTGGAAGGGTTCAAACCTGTGAACTAAAATATAAGAATAAATATCCAATTGTTTGAATATAAAATTGTTTTATGAAACAACAAGTTTGTGAGTAATTATGTAATTAAACAACTCCTAATATTTACACTTCAGCTCAACATTGTTTCTAAAACTTTCTTAAAAATCCTCAAAGAGTGGGACACGCGTGTTAGACACGTATCCATGGCGTGTCGGAAGCGTGTCCACGGCGTGTCCAGATATTCAAAAAAATATAAAATATTCGGACACGTATTTTGGCGTGTTCAGCATGGATTCTTTGCCCTTTTAGGTGTGTTCGTGCTTCCTAGCTCTTCAGTTAATTAAACAATCTTTCCAATCTATTTTGTATTCTGTGTATTGACAAAATTGAGGTGTGATTAAGTTGCAGAATTTCACGTAAGGCTATTCGGTTCTCCAATATGACCATTTATAAGAACTAAGAACTCTTTTCTTTGTTGTTGTTCTTTATCTGTGTTTCTGGAGTGTTGGTTAGCTTTAATTTTCCATAGATGTCCAGAGGCATTACTAACAAGGGGTTGTAACCTCTTATTTTGTCTTTTTCTTTAGTAACTTGGTCAGTTTCTGTCTGAATGAACCTATAGCGTGCTTCAACATATATTTTGTTCTTTTATAAACTATATATTATTGCCATGGAAGTTTTACACTAGATTGAGTTTGTTTAATACTTCCTACTTGCAGCAAAACTTATTGTGGATTTTGCAAGAAGGTCAAGCAATTGCTGTCACAGTTGGGTGCAAATTACAAGGTCATCGAATTGGATGTGGAAAGTATGTACTCATTATCAGCTGCCAGAGCATTTATTTGGTGGTATTATCATTACTTAATTGCTTCATTATGAAACTGCATTTTCAAGTTTGGATTCCAATATTACACTGTCACAGTGGATTACTTTGGCACTTGCTCTGTCTTCTTTTTATTATTATTATTTTTTTAGCAGAAGTACATTTGTCTTCTTTTGATAATTGTGGTTCCATATCTACCCTTTTTATGCTGTGTTCTTATTCTTCTAGTTCTTGAACTTGCCTATAAGTATTTTCTAAGTTCTTTATCAATTTGTTTTATTTTATTGGTAAATTACTGGCACCCCTTGAGGTTTTGCCTTGCGCACAGACTTCAAAAGTTCGATTAAAATTGTGGTCAATATACTCTAAAGGTGGGGGTAATAACCGTAATATTACAGGCAGCCCCAAACCCTTAGAAGTCTGTTAAAGGTGTTAACAGATTTTGTTGTAAACTCCGAAAATGCCCTCCCATGTAAGGAAATGACAAAGTTATCCCTATACATAAACAGAATTGACCATTATGACCTTGATCAGTGGACAAAAATACCCTTATCATATCTGCGAGCTCCATCAGTCATATTAGATTATCAAAAGATCTGAAAACCTGAATCTCCAAAATGCATTTGAAAATCAAAATCTCCAACGTAGGTTTAAGATATCTGTTTCCATATTACTATCCCAAATTACCACTTGAGACAACATCTACTTCAGATGCATACAATTTGGGAATGAATCAATTTCAAAATTTTCTGCCACTGAAAGTAGCTGTTCATTTTGATTCAAACGTCACTTATTTGCACATGGCGACGCAGCCACGCTGTTTGTTTTATAGAATAATACCTTGTGTAGTCTCACACCTCTCTCACCACTAACAGCGCCACCGCCATGAGGAACCACTGTCAACAACCCCCTGAACAAGACCCCTAGTCTTTTATGAAAGAAGACGATCCAAGTCATCTCAGACCTTTGGGTATGAACCCTCTCTGACCACCGCTACAACCAGGCCCAAACTTGCAAAACCCTTTTGCAACCTCACTGGCTTTCTCTCCAAGCTTGACCTCTGGGTTTTGTGTTTTAAGAAAGCAAGGTTTGGGTTTCAGATAGGGTGGGGAAGGGAGGTCCAGAATATTCGTGCAGGTTATCTTGGGCATTTCAGAATTTCATAATGTCATCAACTCAAATGTTTTGGGTGCAACTATAATGAGGGTAGCTATTTATTTCATGCACACGTTTAACGACGTTAGGACTTCTAAGTCTGATTGGAAGGTGTCAGTGATTTTCGAGAAACTTTAAAGCATTGGTGTTGGGGCCAAACCTGAAGAGGCGTCAGGATAATTTACCTTATTTCCTTAATTTTTTTGGTAGGACCAGTTTCTGCCTCTAGTGGGTTTAGTTGGTTGAGAATCCTGGACAATGCTAAATAATATTTTTTGACATGCCATATCGTGTTAAATAGTTCATTGAAGCTATTTGTTTTGTGCTTGGGGTCTCGAGGAATTTTCTTGCGGAATCTCGGAGATGAAATCTGTTTTGAAATAATTTACCACTGAATGTTATTTCTAGTCTATGTATTGGTTGTTATTTGTTATGCAGCCTCTTATGTGAGGGGAATCAATTTCAGCTGATTTCCTTTTCATGCTTATTTGATTACCTTTTCATGCTTGTTACCATTGGAAAAGGAAGAAAAAATGGCATCTTTTTAAATCTGAATTTGTTTTGGGATTGTTAGAATTTGGATTCTTTCTCAATGCAAGGGACTAAAGTTTCTATAATGCCAGTCTCTTTTTTTTCATTGGCAAGAAACACACACATATATTGGGACTTGAACCCTCGACCTCCTACTTTGGAAAGCGAGGAAGTACTCCTAGGCTACAAGGCCCTTGGTGTAACACCAACTTTTCAGTAACCAGGCAGAATAGTTGATGTTTTATTTGAAATGAGTGAGACCTTCGTTTCATTTATGCTCGATGCAACAGACAAAGATCACCCATTATACCACCCCTTCACTCACCACGCGACATAGTTGATGTTCAATTCGAATTGTGCATGAGGCCCTCGTTTGTTTTATTTTCTTAGGATAATATTTAGCCTAGGCTGTTAGTTTCTTTCAATTTGAAATTTCTCTTTCTTTTTCAGGTATCAGCAAGATAATAGTATCTTAATTCGTCATTGTGCTTTAACATGTATTGGTATCAGCAAGACAATAGTATCTTAATTCGCCATTGTGCTTTAACATGTATTATCATTTTCTTGCGAAGGTGATGGAAGTGAAATTCAATCGGCTTTAGCTGAATGGACCGGGCAGAGCACCGTACCAAATGTGTTTATCTGTGGGAAACACATCGGTGGTTGTGACAGTAAGGCTAAGCTCCTCTTATATTCGGATTTGTAATTCTTTTCTGGTGAAGGTGAGGTAAAAATATGTACTTTTTCTTTCGTATTTGTAGGTGTCATGGCAAAGCATCAAGGAGGAAAGCTCGTACCGTTGCTCGCAGAAGCTGGTGCTATAGGAAACAACTCCCAGGTTGTAAAATGAGGTGGATGAGTTTGTGTGAAAACAAACGTGAACCAAGAACTAAAAATGTAGTATGTTGTGTAATAAGTGCTTGTAACATATGTTGTTAAACCTGGCTTTGTTAAAAATTTCCCATAAATTATACCATTTTCTATTGTCGCTGCTCCATTTTCCTGTTAACCAAACATTTTCTACTATGGCTCTCAATTTGCAATATGTGCTTGGATAGTGTTTGGCTCGTGTTAGGTTGCTAGTTGGAATCTGCTTCATTTTTGCTTTGTATATAACTATATCATATTTTGTAACATTGAAATGCTAGTTTCAAGTGTTTCTGTACCTAATTGCTTGAATTTCCGGGAAAAAATAATCTATATCTTTCTTCTTCCTTTTTAATTTTTTTTTTTGCATCTCATTCCATACTATTTTCGAGATGATATTTATATGATAAAAAAAGTAGACTCAATAATATTTTCAACGACATGGTTATGTTTTTAGTTTCTACACCAATTTAGACAAAAATAAGTGGCATCAGTCGAATATTTTCTTATATTAAATTTGTTCATGGTCGATTTTATTGTGTTTTTTTACGAGAAATTTTTAGTTACAACCAACCAATAGAAATATTATAATAAAGTAAAGGAGTTGGTTTTTTAATAATTTGTTAAACTTTTGTTGGACCACTTTATTTTAATAGAGCGTTTATGTTGATTTGTTGTATCAATGACATAGTATATTTATTGTAACTAATAATTTCTCGTTTTTCTAGTGTTGAATGTAAACCAAATCACAACCAATTCTTGCTTAATTGATTTCCAATAATTTTAAGACTTGAATTAGAGTTTCTAAAGGCTATATAAAGTAGTTTAGGGTCCAAACAGTGTTTTTTTTTTGTTTTGGGGAAAAGAAAAAAGAACAGTTCAAAGTGGTCACCTTGTCTCTTAAGTCCAACCCACCTCCAAATAAAAAAAAATTGAGCCTAAATTCAAATCCATGTGTGGGCGAGTAAAATAATTTAATATTTATTGATAATATTTTTGTTCATTACATTTCAAAAGTATTCTTGACGAATTTTTATATTAAACAAGATTTATATGTGCATCGAAAAAAAAAAAATTATGTATATTTAAATTACACTAGTATAGAAAATAAAATAAGTTCAAGTGTCTTCTAGTGTATCTCTCATTCTCATTGAATACCATTAACATTTTTGAATTAGTCAAATTAGTCGGGCGGTTTTGTAATTTTAAAATTTTATAATCACAAAAGAAAATATTAATAATAATTTGACGGGATACTTGTTCCCCAAGTAATGCTGTGGCTTCCACGTTATATGTGTGACTAATTTATGCGTCTATATGCGTAGAATTCAATACTATATATGAAAGATTGGAATAGTTGAGTCTTTGATTTTCAAATAAATAATTCTTTGCATAGTCATCACCAACTCATTATGAATAAACTATAAACAAAATAATAATTTGAAATCTGAAAATCAGAATTCAAGCACGCTTTTTCTTATGCATTGCTTTCTAATTCAATGGGAGTATATAATAATTTATCCCATTATGGGACTATATAATAATTTATCCTATTATTATTCTTATATACATATATAATAAAATAAGCTTAGAAAAGGTCCGTCGCCTGTAGAGGACTTTAGTTATATGAAGGAAAAAGTTCCAGTAAAAAAAGATATCTGGATCTTGATTTAGGTCTCTTCAAATTTAAGTGCATTTGTCATTTATCACTCAATTGGCAAAGTTGGAAGGTGGAAGAATTTTTTAACCCACCATGAATGCGTCCGAGCAAAACTGAGATTTTCATCCTCTTCTTTATTTCATTCATAGGAATAATGATAGGAGTTCGAACATTGCGATTTATAATTTATTTTTGTACTTAATAAATTATACACGTTTTAGAGGTGTTCAAACATTACGGTTTTCTTCTCCCTCTTCACTTTTTGTTCTCCTTAGACTGCTAATGTTGCAATGCTATATTCCTTTTACACTGTGGGCACAATTTGGTCCAACCACAAATTTATTTTAAAATTATTTTTATTTTATTTTATAATTTGGTGGGTCCAAGCCTTGGTAAGCAAGCAATAGACAGGCTATATAAAATTCACATATCCGAGAGTGTTTGTGTGTCTATGTTAATATGAAGTGCCTTTTTTGTTTTTCTTTTTTCTTTACAATATCTTATTTTTATATATAATTGAGAGATTAGGAGGACAATGAAGGAATCATTTCGTTAACTAGTTCTGCTTGTTGGCATACTTGCCTTGACGACAGTACTCTAAATGTTTCGGGTCCTTTCTCTCTCTCTCTCTCTCTCTCTCTCTCTCTCTCTCTATATATATATATATATATGCGTGCACATGAGTCATACTAAACGCTATATACACTCACATACATATCATATTCTCTATGTGTGTGTTTTTTCGTTCATATGTCTTCTTCTGTATTTTTCTTCTTTCTCATTTCTTATTTTATATAGAATTGGTTTCTTCTTTCTCATTTTGTATTTTTATTAGAATTGAGAGGTAAGGACGACAATGAAAAAAATCATCTGATTCGCTCGTCGTGCTTAATGGCATACTTGCCTTGACGACACCACTCTAAATGTTCTGAGTCCTCTATCTCTCTATACATGCATATAAGTTATGATAATAACTATTTAAACTCACATATCATATTCTCTCTCTGCGTGTCTACGCCTTCTTCGGTGTGTTTTTTCTTTCTTATTTCTTATTTATATATAGAATTGGTTAATTTGGTTTCTTCTTTCTCATTTTGTATATTTATATAGAATTGAAAGGTAAGGATCAAGGACAATGAAGAGAGTTTTTTGGTTCGCTCGTCGTGCTTAATGGCATACTTGCCTTGACGACACCACTCTAAATGTTCAGAGTCCTCTCTCTCTATACATGCATACATAATCGCTATATAAAGTCACATATCCTAGTCTCTCTCTATTTGTTTACGTTTATATGAATTGCCTTCTGCGGTGTGTTTCTTCTTTCTCGTTTCTTATTTATATATAGAATTGGTTTCTTCTTTCTCATTTTGTATATTTATATAGAATTGAAAGGTAAGGAACAAGGACAACGAAGAAAATTATTTGGTTCGCTCGTCGTGCTTAATGGCATACTTGTCTTGATGACACCACTATAAATGTTCCGAATACTCTCTCTATATATATATATGTATGCGTGCGCGCGCACACATTTGAGTCATGCTAATTGTTATACAACTCACATATCATAATTGAGGTTGGTTTGTTTGTTTGTTTTTGTTTTGTTTTTATTTTTATTTTTATTTTTTGGCAATTTAACCAATGAAATAACCTTTTCATCTTAAAAAAGGAAATGAGAAAAATATGTGAGTAAGTATTTTTCTTGTCAAGATAAAAATAATAATAATTATAATAATAATAATAAAAATTTACAACTCTCAAAAGTGTTGTGACCAAGAGTCTCCTAAAATGCGTCACAATTAAACCAAATTATTTTTGCGCAAATCAATTTAATTTTTATAGTGAAATTGTGACGTAGGATAAGGATAGTGTAAAATGCTGATTAAAAAGAATTAATTAAAAATCTTGATATTTATAGCATCTTTCGCATATTATTCATATTAAAATAATGAAGGGTGAACTAAAGGTTCCATAAGTGATATCATGGCAGGTTCAATAATATACTTTGGAAGCACATGGGAATGTCATGGAGAAAAAGACCAGCAACAAACAAAGAAAGGCCCCTTTAATTAATTAATCCACACCCACACACACACACACACAAAAGTATGTCATGTGATGATATTGCCTAGAAATGAGATCACCCCATTATTCAAAAACCCAAGAAAAAAATGGCACCAAGAGTCTGTCTGAGGCCATATAATAATTTTTTATAGATAAAGATTCCATTTGTCTCTTAATGGAATATTATTACTTCTGAATTTATACAACTAGTTAAAAGAAGCTTCATCCCCTCTTTAAGTTATCATCCCATCCCCTATTAACTTGTCCGGCATGATTAATTTTGTAGTGATTTGTGGACCGGTAGTCACCCAACCTCGTTTATGTGGGTGGGGTGATAGGCCCCACAATATGACATCTAATGGAAGACACTGATAAATTACTGATACACAATTTTACATTAATTAGATGTGAAAAGGGTAAATATTTTATATGTAAGATTTGTACATTATAATTGGTATGGGACATAAAATTCAAGAGCAAAATCATGCAACTCGAATATTGACAGATTACGTGTGCACGATTTTACATTTCCTTGTGTTTATAAATGAGGATGAATGGACTTGTACAAAATGTGAAAACAGTGGCTTCAATTGCGCCCAATGGACTGCTCTGATTTGGCCCAAGAACCAATCTGCCTGACCATTTACTATTAAAAAGATTTGGCCCAAGAAGAAGTATCAAACAAGCTTTTAGTCCTTTTGTCTCACCTGAATCACAATTTGATGTTGAAAAAGTTTGGTGGCTGTTTGATGTCCTTTCTTTTTGGAAGCATTCAATTGTTCTCTATTCACTTGTGTTTCTTTATTTGTAGTTTGAATTGATTGGCTACTTGGGAATGTACATCAAGAAATATGATTTTTTTTTTTTTTTTTTTTTTTTTTTTTTTTTTTTTTTTTTTTTGCGTAATTGGGGTCATAATAGATTTATATAAAAAAAATTTAAATTATTTATTTTTAACTTTAGTAGTTGTTTTATACATTTTGTGTAAAAATACATATCTAATAACAACCGATCAGTGTTATGGACCCCACATAATTTTTACAAACCTATTTAATATAGGGTTGATTTGTTAATAGAATGAGAAAGAGGGAGAAGAAAGGAAATATAGTGATATGACTGTGTAAAAAGATTGTATAAAATACACAACAATTTTATACATCGGTGACGTGACAGTGTATCTTAAAAAAAAAAAAAAGTGTCAATGTATATTTTATACAAAAAAAGAAAAAAAGAAAAAAAAGAAGAAGAAGAGTATTTTAACAAACTGTTAGCTCTAATACTTTAGTCTTTGTTATGATGTTTCTTAACCATTTAGTTTTGAGCTACACTCTCAATTTCCTTGTTTTCCAATTTTCTAAAGTTAATCTTACTTTTTAACTTCAGATTTCTATTGAATTTCTTATAAAATTTTTAGTTTTTAAGAACTTTTTACATTGCAAGAATATTACAGCCGCAATACAATACCCGTGCCTTTAGATACTTAATCTGACTCTTGGTGTTTTGTGATCCTCAAAATCTTTGATACGATGCGATTCCCTTTCTTAAGGTCACAATTGATTAGTTGTTGTTGCTTTGATACGGTCACAATTGATTAGTTGTTGTTGCTTGAAATAATTTTACAGAATTGTTCATTTGCAAAGATAAAATTGTATAGTAAATTACATCATTCTAGCACTCTGAACTCACTCAGGGCTACATGTACACAACTTGGCTGGAAACTTGGTGAAACAAATGAGACCTCTCATTTATATATATCAAAACCCAGAATGAATGGTTACCTTTCATTAGAATGGACAGTCCCTATTAACTCTAATAGTCCACCAAAATATGTTCATCCTCCACAATTTTCTACATCTATAAAATTATGGAAGAATCTAAAATTTAATTTCCGAATTTGTTATCATTCTCCAACATTCTCTACCAATCTATAAAATTGTGGAAGACTCTAAAAATTAATTTCCAAATTTGTTATCTGATTGCTATCCAATAGTGTATATTTGTCCCACATTTTAAATGTTATAATGTTTTCAATATTCTCAATTTCTCATATTTTAAATAAATTATAGCATCTTAGCTTTTTCCTAAAGTCATTCGATCTAGTAAATCTGTATAGATAATATATGGTCCGAAACTTTTTCGAAAGTTTTTTATTAGGAAAAAAAAATATATATATATCTTTTTTTTTATTTATTTATTAAATTGTTGTTATTGTACTAATATAAAAATAGAAATTTCATACAAATAAAAACTTTTCACCAAAAACTTCATACCACCCAATTGAGGGAGGTGAGAATACATTTTACCCATGCATATAACTAAAAAGGAAATATTACCATATCTCCAAATCCATTAATTATTGTTCTAGCTTATAAGAAACCCATCCTTCCATTTTCTACCTAAAACTCAAAATTCTGGTAATTTTCTATTCAAATATTTCAAAATCAAACTTAATCTCTCTCTTATTTTTATAATTTTTTTTTGTTAATAATAAATAAAAATATACAACTCAACCAACATATCAAGTATGCCGCACAGTTTGTATAAAGAACTTAAACTCTCAATCTCATGTACAAGTACTATAGGAACAATCGTCAAAATTAACACAAGGAACACTAATCCACAGATCTCAGCTTGAATTAAAATAGGATGTAATTCCAAGGATCATACAGATAAATAATCCTGCATAAATGCAAAAGTGTTAGTTACATTGAGCAGAAAAGTATATATATAATTGGAAAGACAATTTATATATCACTCATTAATTCCACTAAAAAATCGATAGGTAATTAATTCCACTAAAATATCAATAATGAGCTTTTTTCTTCCCATTTACCACCGGAAAAAAAAAAAAAAAAAATGAAATTGGTTTTTTCTTCCCTTTGCTCGACTGCCTGAGCAAGATTTTCAAAATACATTAAGGTTTTCCTGTCATAAAAAGAAATATTGATATTACTCCAAATAAATTTGTTTTCCCATAACAAAAAAAATAAGAATTAAGTTCCTAATTTCACTCTACATTATTAGGTGCCATGCCATTTTTCAACTAGTTGTAATTTAAGAAGCACGGATATGGATATAGGACTCGAACATTACACAACAAAAATACGCCCTCTTTGATCTTAGGAATGGAAATGTGGGATCGGATTCCGTCTTTCTTTCCTTTATGATGTTGTCACTCGAGTACATATCAATTCCTTAAAATCTCGATTTGACCTTGACGCATTAAATTTTTTAAAAAAGGTATAGACACGGCATGGACATGACCAAAAGTTGATGGGTTTCCAAATTAGGCGATGGATTCTCTCATGTTTCCTTATGGATCTAAATCATCTCATAAGACACTAGGCGGGTGTAATATGCGCGAGTTACAATACATTAGCTGAACTTCAAGTTATAAAATTTCGTATGAGAGAAATAAAAGTGAAGTGCTTATATGTATATATTAATGTTATTTTTAAATAATATGAGGTGGACTTCGACTAAAATCGAATAATTTCATAGTATGTGATAAGGTAACCTACTAACTATATCAAATTTTAATCCACCCACACATACATCTAGAGAGAGATTGGATGCTGGTAATCAATTTAAAAAGACACAAACCTAATCTAAGTAACAAAAAAATGGATGTTGAGGTCATTTTTGCTTTTGGATCTTCTTTTGCTTAGGTGGTGTTGCTTCTACCCATTCACACACATACATACCATAAAAGGTCCAGCAAATAGATTATTCAACTAACAGAATCATGCAAGTTGAATTTGACCCAAATATGTCCTCAATTGAACCTAATTACGGCTCTATTAATTTAGGTTATGTACTATATATATATATGTATCTTCTTTTTGAGTTTATCAGTATTAATGTTTAAATCATACTATGTTTGATAATAATGAAAAAGAAGAACATAATTGTTAAATGTACCTGCTATAGTGCTCAGAAAAGACCATGTTCCTCTAGACGACGACGAATGGACTGCACATTATACAAAATGTGATTCATTATCAACTATGGAACAACAAGAATAATTAAACCAAAAATAAAAAAATAGAGAAAATAATCTACATATAACATATCCCAAAAAATATATATATAAATCAAATAAATCTATACATATGACAAAAACTAGGAGAGTAAAGTTTGAAGAGGAGCTATTGGGCTATAAAAATGGGTAGCTACATTTGGGCAGGAGGCCCATATATTCTCTTAAGAATCTGTACATTTTATTAGCCCAATGCTATACAACAATGACTGCTCTGCTTTGGCCCAAGAACCAAATGGACTGATCATTTATTATAAAAAGTAGTGATCTTTGGGCCGAACAATCAAAGAGAATTGTTTAATCGAACATCATCATTGATTGGTCGAGCTTGTAATATATAAGGAAGTGAGCATCCACTTCTTTATATTATAAAAAGTAGTGATCTTTGGGCCGAACAATCAAAGAGAATTGTTTTAACGAACATCATCATTGATTGGTCGAGTTTGTACGAGTTTGTAATATATAAGGAAGTGAGTATCCACTTCTTTATATTATAAAAAGTAGTGATCTTTGGGCCGAACAATCAAAGAGAGAATTGTTTAATCGAACATCATCATTGATTGGTCGAGTTTGTAATATATAAGGAAGTGAGTATCCACTTCTTTATATTTTACGTACAAAATGAATCAAAACTTTTCGATCTAACAATTTACTACAATTTATCCATCTTAAAAGCATTTTCCTACTATAAAATTGTAACCTAATTAAGAAGATGTATCAAACAAGCTTGATTTGTTTTATCATCTGAATCACAATTTGATGTAGAATTCCAGTTCCCACACATGCACATCTCATTGATCCCATCAATGTCATACCCACATGAGCCACCGGTGGCCTCGCACGCTCGACAGAACTCATGATTTCCTTGCACGGAGTAGCTGACACGTATCCCATACGATCACCGGCCCGGCCCACTATCCCGGAGAGGTGCAACACTGTATGCACTACTATAACCCTGACACTCAAGCTTTGCTGAGGTTTATAGCTTTGATGGCCTCAAATGGCACTGCACAGCACGTAGATGGGACTGGGCTATAGACTGGGCCAACCCTCTTGGGCCCAATTATGTTCCAAGCTCGGACTTAAACCCTCGACTTCCTACTTTGAAAGGCGAGGAAGTACTATTAAGCTACAAGGCCTTTGGTGTAACACCTAATTTTCAGTAACCAGATAAAATAGTTGATGTTTTATTTGAAATGAGTGAGACCTTCGTTTCATTTATGCTCGATGCAACAGACAAAGATCATCCATTATACCACCTCTTCACTCACCACGCGACATAGTTGATGTTCAATTCGAATTGAGCATGAGGCCCTCGTTTGTTTTATTTTCTTAGGATAATATTTAGCCAAGTTAGGCTGTTCGTTTCTTTCAATTTTAAATTTCTCTTTCTTTTTCAGGTATCAGCAAGATAATAGTATCTTAATTCGTCATTGTGCTTTAACATGTATTAGTATCAGCAAGATAATAGTATCTTAATTCGCCATTGTGCTTTAACATGTATTATCATTTTCTTGCGAAGGTGATGGAAGTGAAATTCAATCGGGTCTAGCCGAATGGACCGGGCAGAGAACCGTACCAAATGTGTTTATCGGTGGGAAACACATCGGTGGTTGTGACAGTAAGGCTAAGCTCCTCTTATATTCGGATTTGTAATTCTTTTCTGGTGAAGGTGAGGTAAAAATATGTACTTTTTCTTTCGTATTTTTAGGTGTCATGGCAAAGCATCAAGGAGGAAAGCTCGTACCGTTGCTCGTAGAAGCTGGTGCTATAGGAAACAACTCCCAGGTTGTAAAATGAGGTGGATGAGCTTGTGTGAACACAAACGTGAACCAAGAACTAAAAATGTAGTATGTTGTGTAATAAGTGCTTGAAACATATGTTGTTAAACCTGGCTTTGTTAAAAATTTCCCATAAATTATACCATTTTCTACTGTGGCTGCTTCATTTTCCTGTTAACCAAACATTTTCTACTATGGCTCTCAATTGGCAATATGTTCTTGGGTAGTGTTTGGCTCGTGTTATGTTGCTAGTTGGAACCTGCATCATTTTTGCTTTGTATATAACTATATCATATTTTGTATTTTTTGAAATGCTAGTTTCAAGTGTTTATGTACCTAATTGCCTGAATTTCCGGAAAAAAATAATCTATATTACAAACTCGACCTGAGGTCATTGCCGATGAGGAACCAGTCGGTGAAGGCCGCTACAAGGTCAGGTGACCTCGCTGAAAACAGAGGAAGCCTGCAGTGTGATACCCCCTAATTTTGGAACACGGATTGATTAAGTCCGCGCACAAAATCAAGGGATATCAAAACAATTTAAGTATTTAACAAGCACAGAATACAAAGATGAATAATAAAGAATAAATAAACCGCTGAAGAAAACTAATAAATAAATATTACTTAATGATTCTCCAACAATTACAATTCGGAAATCCCATAACTCAAGGACCCCTTAAAACATTATCCAATAATCCAATACTATTTAAAAGTACACAAGATGAATAGACGAATGACAGTCTCCCAGCTGCGGATCCTCAACCTCGAGACTGGAACCTCTAATAACCTGAAAAATAAATCGTGGGTTAAACCCTACGAGCAAGTTCACTCTACCAGGCCTCTGAAAACCAACAAGCAAATCATCTCTGATCAAAACCAAACCTAATAAAGTTTTAACTTTAATAAAGCACGATATACATGTCTATATATAATTATATATACTATACTAATCACATCCATTAATAGGTTTATTAAATTTCCATACCTATTAAATAATTATTAAAATAATATTCATACCTAGACCAATCTACCATTTCATTTTATAAAAACTCCTTTGACCTTAATCCCATCCTAGTTAGTTGTTTAATCATTTAAACAACAAATTATAATAAAAGAAATACTCTATTTAATCCCAACCCGATAATGATTTTAATTGTTTAAATCACATATCAAAATCCAAGTTTTGACAAATCTTCCACGTCTTCCCCAATATTATTTTACTAATGTAAAATAATACACTAACCAGTAAGTACTAAACTATTCTCATTTAAGAATATCTAACCCTAATCCAATCCATACATACAACAACCATAGATGATATTTTAATCATCTAACACATAACAACGTAATTATGCTTTGGCAAATCAACCATGCCATTGTAAATATTTTTATTTATATATTGGCAATTCAACCATGCCTCCATAAGTATATTTATTTATACATTGGCAATTCAACCATGCCTCCGTGTATGTATATTTATACATTGGCAATTCAACCATGCCTCCACAGGTATATTTATTCATACATTTAATTAGCAATTCATCCATGCTTTCCATATATGTATTCTATTCATACAAATATTTAGGTAATATATTTAATCATTTGACAATTCATCCATGCCCACACTTTAACCATGAATTAACTTTAAAATTAACAATACGCTAAATCATACATAGCCATCACATGCATATTATACGCATATCATTAATTTAACAACCAGCCTATTAAGATATGCCAAATAAGAATGATAATATTAATCATCTTAAATGATTTATATATATATATATACCTACACATATGTTATTTAATGTATATATGTGTTTAACACCTTCTTTAATAATCCTTGATTATTTAAAATCAATATACATACATATATATATATATATATATATATATATATATATATATATATTCATCCTTCCATACAACTCATAGACAAATTAAACTATATATACACATATATAAATAATTTTATATATATATATATATATACACTTCCTTCCATAACAAATTATTAATTTATTATATTTACCCAAATTAGTGCAACTAAATATGTCAGAAATAGTTTCCTTTAAATACTCCATACCGGTTTAAATAGTTTTCCGACACCGTCTCACTAAAACGTAAATATCTCTTATTAGGATAAGAATCTGATAATGAAATTGGTACCATTGGAAAGAGGACGAAAAATCCTTGAATTTGAGCTCAAGAATGACCCAATTTCGATTTAAGATGACTAAGTTATGACCGTTTTAATTTTATGTCACAAACAGACAAAATAATTGGCTAAGCTCAAACGCTACTGTGAGCGCGCCCACACTTAATTAGCTCACTTGAGCTCACACAAACGCACCCACACCAGATTAGCTCACTTGAGCTCACATGTATGCACCCACACCAGATAAATCTTCTGTTGACCAAACTTAATCCATGGTCCAGATTCACATGCGCACTCTTTTATGTACACCGTAATGCACCGAATCATTCCACTTATATTTAAACTATTCCAATGGCCTAGATCAGTGATGTAACCTTTTACTATGCATTCTACCACACTAGATCATACCTCGAATCACCCATCTCCTGATTTATGCGCCGATTCACACAGAGTGCATAGAATTAATTTAAAATTTAATAAAAATAATTCTAAAATAAATTCCAGAATATAAAAAAATTACAAAACAAATTCTAAAAATATTCTGAAAAGTACAGAAAAATTCCAGAAAATATAAAAACCAAAATTAATCCCCTTAGGTCACAGTTCCACCTATACATTGATTTTAATATATATATCCAACATCTACATATACAAATAAAATCCAATAATCCAAAATTAAAACTATATAATAATTCATACTTTTAAATAATCATATCTAAACACAATTTAATAAAATAAATTAACTTGATGCTTTTAATTAATCCAAATTAATAATTTAATTAGAGCCTTAATACTTAAGATGAAATCCTTATAGGTTCTAAGAGGAAAAATAGAGAAAACTCGCCTGAAGGTTTCGAAACGAAACCGACGCTTTAAGCTTTAATTATCTCTTCCAATTCCGACGTCCTCCTTTTCAGATCCGACCTCCTCCTTGTCAGCCCTTCTTCTTCCTCTCTCTCTGTCTGTTTTATTTTTCTAACGTGTAAAACCTTTAACCCTAAAGCCTTATGTGTATTTTTATACACCTTAAATTCCAAATCCTATTCCAACTAGTATTATGAATTAAAATAATAATCTTTAAATAATTTATATCTATAAACATATATATATATATAAATATATATTCCTTCCATAATTAACTCATTAGTTAATTAAATCATATATACTTATAAATATCAATAAATATATATCTATATATATATCTTTCCATAACAATTATTAATTAATTATATTTATATATAATTATATATATATATATATATATATATATATATATATATATATAATTGATACAAAAGTGATCATTTAAATAATTAAATAACCACGGACCTTCATTAATTAACCTAATAAGGTTTCATAGAAGCCCAAGACCACATCTTTTGGTCCAACTTTCCTTAAGCCCAATCCAATTAATTTAAATAAATAAGATAATTAATTAAATACAGAAATTAAAATAACTAATTACATGAAGCACATAAACAAACAAGAATTTACAACTAAGTCATATAATACCAATAAAATCAACATACCAATAATTCAATCAATAATCAACCACACAAACAATCAATCATCATACATAATCACGAAATATAACTTAATTAAAATAAGATAATTAATCTAACACTCAATAAAATAAAATAAATCATTGAAAAATAAAATAAAATAATTAATCCTAATTAATAAATCTTTTAAAATTATCGGGGTATTACATGCAGCGAGCTGGTCTGGTCGTTGCCGACGGCGATTAGCTTCATCATGCGATGATGAAGAAGAAGATAAAAAAAAGAGAAGGAAAAAAGAAAAGAAAAAAAAAAAGGACATTTTAGACTTTTCAACATTTAAGTACTTGTTTGTCCAAAAATTAAATATCCACGGGTGATGGTATTCTGTCGAATTCTAATCTATATCTTTCTTCTTCCTTTTTAATTTTATTTTTTACATCTCATTCCATACTATTTTCGAAAATATATTTATATGATAAAAAAAGTAGACTCACTAATATTTTCAACCACATGGTTATGTCTGTAGTTAATTTTATTATGTATATTTAAATTACACGAGTATACAAAATAAAACAAGTCCAAGCGTCTTCTAGTGTCTCTCTCATTCTCATTGAGTACCATTAACATTTTTGAATAAGTCAAATTAGTCGGGCTTAGCAGACATAAAAAGTCATCACTTACAATAATTAAAAATTTGAGGAAGGGCGGTTTTGTAATTTTAAAATTTTATAATCACAAAAGAAAATAATAATAATAATTTGAGGAAATACAGCTTGTTCCCCAAGTCATGTTGTAGCTCCAACGTTACATGTGTGACTAATTTATGAGTCTATATGCATAGTATTCAATACTATAAAAGATTGGAATAGCCGAGTCTTTGATTTTTTCAAATAAACAATTCTTTGCTTAGTCAATACTAACTCATTATGAATAAACTATATACAAAATGGTCCGAGTCCTCTCTCCCTCCATACATGCATTTAAGTCATGATAATCGCTATATAAACTCACATATCGAAGTCTCTTTGTGTCTGTCTACATTTATATGGAGTGCCTTCTCCGATGTGTTTTTCTTTCTCATTTTTTATTTATATATAAAATTTGTTTTTTCTTTCTCATTTTGTATATTTATATAGAATTGAGAGGTAAGGATTGATCGAGGACAATGAAGAAAATTATTTGATTCTCTCGTTGTGCTTAATGACATACTTGTCTTGATGACACCACTATAAATGTTTCGAGTCCTCTCTCTCTCTCTCTCTCTATATATATATGTGCATATGTGTCTGTTGACTAATCGCTATATGAACTTACATATCCTAATCTCTATGTGTGTGTTTTTTGTGATAACCTGGAATTTTAGAATTTTTAATTTATATTTATCTTATGATTTTTAGTTGTCAAAGTTGAGTATTTAATTTTATGTTAAAGACTTACCCAATTTGAAATTTTGGGTTACGGTGTTGATTTTAGGAAATTAATTTTAATTAATTATATGCAAATATTGCTGATGACAGAATAAAGGAGCAGTGGACGAAATTAGAGAAAATGAGAATGAAATTGTAATGATTTTGTTGCGGGTCCATGAGTTATTTTAGTTAATAGGATTTTGGTTTTTTTCTCATTTCTTATTTTATATAGAATTGGTTTCTTCTTTCTCATTTTGTATATTTATATAGAATTGAGAGGTAAGGAGAACAATGAAGAAAATTATTTGATTCGCTCGTCGTGCTTAATGGCATACTTGCCTTGATGACACCAATATACATGTTCTGAGTCCTCTCTCACTCTCTCTCTCTCTCTATATATATATATATATATATATATATGCGCGCGTATATGAGTCATGCTAATGGTTATATAAACTCCCATATCTTCTTCTTTCTTTTTTTTCTTTTTTTTTTCCCGCAATTTAGCAACTATAGAAGGAAAAGTATCATCTATCTACAACTCTATCAAAGGGTATGTCAACCGTCAAAGTGTTGTGACCAAGAGTCTCCTAAAGTGCGTCACAATTAAACCAAATTATTTTTGCGCAAATCAATTTAATTTTTATAGTGAAATTGTGACGTAGGATAAGGATATTGTAAAATGCAGATTAAAAAGAATTAATTAAAATTAGGTAATGTACTTTTGCCCATATTGATCAAATCAGCAAAATTATCGTCCATATTGATCAAATCAACCATAGTTGAAGCAAATGTAGAAAAGGTTATTCACATGGTTCTAATCTAGAAAAGGAGAGGTTTGAAATACCTGTTCACATTTTCTATTGCAAAACCAATTTCCTTTAGAATATCTCTCCAGCTTTATGAGACCTCTTTTTCTTAAGCATCCAACATGATCTGCATCAAATTGATTAATTAATCAGAAATGTATTCAATATGGGTGAAGTTGAACAGGTGTAGATTATATTTTACACATTTTTGCGTGATATAACACATGTACAGAAAGTATATAGTTAACGCACACTGATGCTCGCACTGAGCACAATTAAGAACACTATCATCCAGAAACTGTTCAGTGTCTCTGTTGAATCTGCTTTGGCCACAAATTCCACAACAGCATGATGGGCAGAACCAATCTCCATCTGGTACATCCTTAATAAACAACAAAATATAGTCCAACATCAAAACTCAAAATAATAATTCATATTTATTCTTTGAAAATAAAATAAAAAACCAATTCAACACAAGAATCAAAGCCTCTAACCTTCAAACCAAGGCAATCTGCATGGAATGATGATGGACACTGATCACATAGAATTAGTTCACCCCCATCGTGACAAACGGAACATATGTAGTCATTTGTGCTCTGATGCCGCTTACCCTTTTTCACATTAGGTTCTATCACAAAGCTTTTTTTACAATTTTCACGTTTCAATTGCATCCGACATTGTAACGAAGACCTTCCATCCTCAAAAAAAATATTGGCAGATGGTCGGTGATTAGTGCTGCCAGCATGAGCTTCAAATTTCTTAAGAGAGAACTTTTTGGCAACAATTGCACTTGATCCCATGACGAGTTATTCGCCCTTCTGCCATGGGAGAACGATCATTTCTGCTATGGTAATGTACTTTTGCCCTAGGCAACACCACATTGTTATCTATTAACCAAGACAATACAGTTCGAGGGTTGTCGGAAGAAACCACCTGCTGCCCAGCTCTTTTTCTAGATCGCAGCACACGAATTGGACAATCAACATTACCATCATCTCTTAATTTGATCAAAAACTTAGATTTCTTTCCTTTCTTCGGCTTTGGAGAGCCAACATTTTGATCGATCATTTCAAGCAAGTTAGATGGAAAATGCAGGTTGCCATTCTCTCTATTTTTTCGAAGTTTTCTAAGTCCTCGGGCTTTTAATTTACTAAGTTTCCTTGAAAATGATATCCCAGAAGAATCCCTTGACCACTTTTCAGACGACACATTTAGTGGTACCAAATCTCCACGAAACTCAATATCAATTAATGCAGAAGATTCACCAGCTAACTGGGCCTCAGTTTCCTCATTGACATTTGTATTTTGCCTTGGTCTACAGGTAGAAGCACCAAAATCTGAGAAACCTCTTTCATCTATACAGACTTTGCAGGCCGTTAGAAGAGAATAGTAAATCCTCCCACTTGGTGATTTGTACCGCAATTCCATTTTGGTTCCATTCCTAACGTACCAGACGGACCACCCATCAGATGCAAGGTGCTTCTTTGCATAGAATTGCAACTCTTTACGTGCACCTTTCTGCAGTCTGTGGTGATGATTCTTATCCTTGAATGCAAGTGAACAATAATAGTCCATTACTGCTTGAGGGCAAGAATCAGATTCAATAATAGGTACATCGGAAGTAGAATGCACAATAGATTCTCCCTTCAACAACAGCTGTTCGGCAAGCAGAGATGAGGAAGGACAATTGGGTGCAGCAAAAGAAATTCCCTTGTCATCATGAGAATTTAGAGAGACAACCTCCAATGAATAGTAACATTGCCAAGTGAATAGTAACATTTCCCATCTGGTGAGGTGTAACATAGTCTCTGTATTCCTTTCTCTCTCCTAAACTTAATTTTCCAGCCCAGATATGCAAGATGTTTCCTAACTCTTAGTGTTAAAGCAGTTGAAGGCCTTATATTAGAATTAGATAAAAGATTGTATTCAGCAACTGTATCTGGGCAATATTCAGTTCCAGCAACCAAGTCATCTCCTGCAGGTAGCCACATATAACAGCTTTTTCGCGTAGGAGATGTGAGCATCCTTTTGGGTGTTTTAGAACTGGTACTAGAGAATCCCTCACTGTTGGTATTGGAGCTGATCCCTGAATATTCATCTGGATTGAAAGATAAAAGAGAAAAACCCGGAGGGGGTAAACATAACGTTTCTTCAAGGCAGGGCATTTTTGAGTTCATCAAGGGATTCACATCCAGACTACAATCCTCAATAATTAATGCCAAACCATTCCGATCAATGTCACCTTCAACAGGTGGAACGTTTGCATTATGTAGATCACTAGGCCGCATTTTGGTCACTGAGCCATCATTTTCAAGTGGTACAACAGCAAGAGAGTTGCCCAAATCTGCTTGAGGATTCAGTATAACATCACAAGCAGGTTCAGATAATTCCAATGCCTGCTGGGATTCCTCTACCAGGTCTTCTGAAGAGTCCAATTTAAGTAAAAATTGGTGAGTTAGATTTAAATTATCAATAATAACTTCAGTCACCAAATCTTTCCAGATATTTCTCGCGAAAGAAGTCCATTCCTTAAGCTTAATAAAACCTTTATTTCCCCGCATATCATACCAAATTTGCCTTGCAGAAACTTGAAGGGGCCACTCTTTTTGGATATCTTCAAGCACCTCAAGTAATAACCAATTCCCACGAGGCTTCCAATCTCCGGTATACTCATCCCATTCCTGAGTAATCCGTAACATCTCAATTTTAAATGTCATTGCATCACCAATATCTGGAAAGAAAATCTGCCGGTTCTCACATCCATCTTCGTGGTCTAAAATCACACCTTCCCACCAAGCCGCCTCGTAATACACATCAACACACTGTCCATAATGAAGACACCATTTCTCAAAACGAAGCGGAGGTGGCAATGGCCTTATCAAGGCACGATGGTTAGAGGATATCCTGTTGGCAGGGACTACCCCATCAACTATAGAAGGAACTGTTTCAATGAGATTTTCTGAACCATCATTGCATAAAATATGGTCGTATTGGATTTGAAGTGCCTGACCTTGGCAGGCAATCACAGTTGCAGAGTGCCAAGACCCCTGAACCCCCTTCAACACTCCTTACCTGCACAAATTTCACACGTTTTACCTGAACTCCATACATCATAAAAAAAGGAAACATTAATCAAACCCACAACCTCAATTACACAGTAAAATCTATATAATCCCATAGTAAAAATCGCACGTTTTATGGGAAAATCCTTAAAACACAAACTAAAGAATAGCTATACCCATACAACCGATACGTTTTTTTGCCTTATTATAAAACACAAACAAACATTACCTGAACTCTACCCATCATAAAAAAGAAAGCATTAATCAAACCCACAACCTTAATCACACAGTAAAATCTATATAATCCCATAGTAAAGAAATATCAAACCCATAACTCAATTGGCATGTACACTACTATTAAAGAAAAAGAAAGATTGGCTAAAACCAAAATCTTATAAAAAAATAAAGCATTAATCAAACCCATAACCTTACATACACAGTAAAATCTATATATACCCAAAGTAAATAAAAATCAAACCCATAACTCTATGTACACTACTACTATTAAAGAAAAAGAAGATTTATTAAAACCCAAAAATTACTAAATCTATATAATCCCATATTAATCACTGCATACATAACTATGAATAAACCAAAAACAGACTTTAGAAAATGATAAAAACAGAGACTGTACAAGGCCACAATGCAATGCAAGTAAAATCAAAGAAAAAAGGGTTAATTACACTCCCACCTACTGAATTTTACTATATTAACAATCAAATGAAAGTTAACAATCAGATAAAAGTTAAGCCGTCTTTTAACAACCACACCTCCTGACATTTAATAAAGTTAACAAAACACCCTTATCACATCTAACCGATGATGAATTGACTTTATTACCCTTTGATTATTAATTAACTTATTTAAATATTGAATTTACAGTTCTAACCTTCCACCCACCCACCCACCACCACCACAATCACTTCACCGATGAAATTCATCAAATTCAGTGTGTTTCTGTATATATTTATATTGATTGTATATATTTATGTATGATTACTGAAGAATCGATTAACTTCCAAAAAAACATATATATGTATATTGATTCAATGGAGCTGCTGAATGATTTATTTAGAAAAGGAAAGTTCAAGAATTTGGTGAGTTTTTTTTTTTTTTTTTTTTTTTTTTTTCACGTATACATATATATATATACACACACAGAAAAACATACCAAATTCTGTAACTTCCCTTTTCTAAATCAAAATCCATTTTTTTGCTCTCCTCAAAAACCCGATTGCAATCACAGAATTAATGCTCAAATATACATCACAAATATTCAAATAAGGGTTTTCTTTTTAAATCAAACCCTTTTTTCTTTCCCTACAAAAACCCGATTGAAATAGAGAATTAAAATACACAAATATACCTACAAAATGAATTCCGTTTAACAAGAAGATTCGTCGCCGCCTCTGCCGAGATCCACAAGCCACAAATCAATTTAGATTCCTTCACAAAATTCCACAAACTCTAATCCACTTCAACTTCTACCGCCGTGATCCACTTCCTTCTTGTACTGCCTATTGGGCCACCGCGGGCACAGATCAACCATGGTGGTGGTGATAAGATAGATTATGATATTGTGTAATCACATGTGGGTTGAGAGAGATGGTGGCAATGGCTGTGGCTTGGGTGTAGAGAGATGGTGGCGGCGATCATGATAGCGATGGGTGGAGATACATGGTGGCGGTGGGTGGAGGCGGCGGCCATTGTTGAGGAGGGATGGTGGCAGCAGATGTGGAGAGAGAGAGGAAGAGCTGTGGTTGGGTTAGACAGGACATGGGTGTGGACAAATTTGTCATTTTACAATATATATTTTTTATTTTTATTATTAAAATGAATTAAATATTCAAGGTAATTTCATTTCTTCCTATATTTTAAGGGCTTGTTTGGCTTTCATCTAATGGTTAATATGGCAAACCTCGTGTAAATATAATTAACCCAACAAAAAACAAAAAAAATCTTGAAGAAAAAACAATCTTGAAAACTTGACAACCTCCAAAATTACAAAAAAAAAAAAAAACGCAACTCAATGAAATCAAAAACAAAGAGGGCTCTATTCATTGTCGCTGTGGGTGAACAATCTCGGCCTCCATGGTAGGGTTTTGAGTTTTGTGTGATCAATCTCGGCCTCCATGGTAGGGTTTTGAGTTTTGTGAAAGTATGGATAAACGGATTGGGGAGCCAGTAACAGAGTCGAAGTGGGTTTAACAACAAAACGCCTCTTCCTTTGTTAGAATCGATTTTGTAAGGGCGAGTGTAGATAAAAAGCCCGAGTAGCGTTGGACCGACAGATATTAATATGAATAAGTTTTGGTTTCCTCCAAAATCTTAATTATTAGTATATGAAATTTATTATTGTAAAAGTCATCCTATCATTTCTCAAACAAACAACGTAGTGTCATAAATTATAAATAAAAAAAAGTTTCTTATAATAATAAATGGAGACCTCTACTATCACGAATGACAATCTGAAGAGTTTTCAAGATACAACTTATTCTTATAAGTAAACGAAATTCCATTTGTGTGACCAACCATTAGCACAGTTACATGCTTTCTATGGCATAAAAAATCAATGACCAATCTACAAACAAAAATAAAAATTATAAATACATAATTTTTTTAAAAAAATAATTCTTCTATGAACTAAAGTCTTACAAATTTAAACCCTGCATGATTCATAAACTCACACAATCAACACAAAAAAATTTAGGTTAGAAAAGTATATTATATCATGCATGTGATTTTATATCGATTCAGTCAATGAATGTGAGAGTGTAAAATTGCAAATGAATTTTTTCACACTTGACATTTGTCTTATTTTAAACCATATTCAAATTGCATAATTAAAAACTCTTAATTGAATAACTACTTAAATATTTTTAAAAAAATTAAATTGAATTATCAAACACTATCAATTTTTTAAAAAAATGCATATATATAGTGAGTATGTCTTTCCTTTATCAAGCGGTGGTGGATAAACGGATTTTGTTCACATGTTATTTATTTATTATTATTTTTTTGTTCACATATTATTTTATTTATTTATTTTATCCCTATATTAATAAGTTTGTAAAAAATGTTTGTGTCAACAAGTAATGTTTTAAAAGCCCCATGCAAATAGGAAAGAATAATTAATCCGTTTAAAAAACAAATATTATTGGAGCAAATGTGGAGTTAAACCCCTCCTCCTTATTCAAATACTATAGGAAAAATTCCCCATTAGTCTTACTTTTTAGCTCTAAAAATAAATAAGTACTGTGAAACCACAAAGACAAAAAAAAAATAATAATAATAATAAAAAAATAAAATCGTAATTAAAAAGTATTTTTAAATAAGTTCAGATTACGTGTGAATAATGAACAGTTTTCCAATATTGCTCTTTATTGTTAAGTTACAATAACATTTTTTTTAATACAAATTTTCTTTCTACTTTCAATATTTTGTAATTAATTAACAATAAAGAGCAATAAAGTATTTCAAATACATTTTTTTTTTAAATATTCACATGTTAAAATATGAAGAAGAAATTCAAAAAGAATAGAAATAATTCATTTGTTATTCATAAATGTATTTAATTAAAAAAAAAAAAAAATCATTGTATTTAGGCATACACTTTGTAATGATGACTTTATGCATCTAAAACAATTAATTAAATATTGAATATTCAAGGCTTTACAGTGATACTTTCTTTTTCTTTTTTTTTTTCTTTAATTTTGTCCTTTTATATCGATGGAAATAAGGGGTGAGGTAACCTTAATCTTAACAAATACAGAAAGACATTTATATACTGTAATGGACAATACTTATCTATTCACCGGTGGCGCGACAATGAAGTGACAAATGTCCCTCCAATATAAAATAATTAAAAAAAAAATTGAAAAGTTATCTGGGTTAAACCCAATAAAATTTCAATCAAATCCTAATTTGATTATTTCTCTTTCTCATAAAATTTGAATCAAACCCAAAAAAAATTATGTAGGAATTGGATTAAGTTTTTTGATAATGGTGAGAGTTCAATTGTAAACCTAGCCACTCCTTTCTAGAGTATTTGCGTTAAAATAGGTTTATTAACATTATTCAAATAAATCAAAGAAAGTATTTAATCATGATTTGGTAAAAAAATAAAATATGTTTTCTTAAGAATTCTTTTTGGTTGATTATTTATATGACAATCATACATTCATATTTATTTTTACATGGGAAAGTGCAAGCATCTACCTTTACACAAATAATTTTTATTTTTTTTATTTTTGTTTCTTTCCTGGTCAACAAAAAGGCAACGGAGGGCTAAACGACACAAGCCACGAGAACAAAATCAATATATATAGTTCATACATGAAATCTTATCACTCATAATCGAAGATTCTAATCCAATTCCTTTAATGGATTTGATTTGAACAAGATATTTGTAGTTATGATTTCTTAGGGATTTGGGCAATAAAGCAGCATAGGAAAAAGATAATTAGATACGGGTTTGACTTGGATATGGATTTCACCCAAATAACTTCTTAAATTTATTATTATTATTATTATTATTATTATTATTTATATTGTAGGACACTTGTTACTTTGTTGTTGCGTCACATCGATAGTAAGCATGAACTTCCTACTCACGGGTGAGTAGGCAAGTCTTGTCATTCTGTAATATAATATCTGCTATGAATGTTAAACAATAATTTCAATTTTACCAAATTGATTGTGAACTATAATTAGTTCACATCAAATATATATTTTTGACAAGACTTGGCCTCCAACCAAACTAACTAAATGCTGAAAATGTGAAATTCAATGCAAGAATATACCGGTAATTGTGATGATTATGGTAAAAATAGGGACAATATTTAATAAATTGACATGTGGTCTTTAATTACCAAATCAAAGATGGTGGGTATTGACATGTGATTTTTAATTACCAAATCAAATATGGTGGGTAGATATTCACTTACCAAAAATATATTCCCAAAGCCAAGAATGATTTGATTATCATCTATGATTTGGTAATTAAATAGGACGTATCCATTTATTTTGTAAAATGATCTCTTCAGATAGAATTGGATGCAACCTTACATACCGTTAGATAAACAAGCAAAAATTAATAAACTTAGACTAAAAAATCACTTGATTTGAAGTCGAGTATGTTACAAATCCTTGAAGACTTAATAAGTAATGACTGCTGGTGCTAAAACAAGTAGATTATTTTGTAAGAAAAAAGAAAAATATTCCCATTTTCAGTAGTCTAGATGCTGCTAAAAATTCATTTATACTCAGCATGTTAAAATACAATGATATTTTTTTCACTAAATACATTTATGTAACAAATGAATTATTTTCATTCTTTTTGAATTTTTTACTTTATATTTTAATATGTGAATATTTACAAAAAAATGTATTTGAAATGCTTTATTAAATTTTTTAGGATTATTTATTTTGGTAAAAAATAATTTTTATAGAAGTAATTAGTTACTAGAGAGAAAATTTGTATATTAAAAAAAGAAAAAAGAAAAGAAAAGAAGTAATGGTAACCCAGCAATAAAGGGCAACAAATATTCATTATTCACATAATCTGAACTTATTATAAAATATTTTTTAAAAATATGACTTCTTTGTCTTTGTGAAAGATTTCATTTATGTCAAGTAGGACTAATTGAGTAATACTATCAATAAAACACAATATAATATTAGAAAATTTTCTAATATTATATTGTGTTTTATTGATAGTATTACTCAATTAGCAAATAGCAAGGGAAAAAAAAAATAGCAAATAGCAGGAAAATAGCAGGAAACATATATGACTCGGTGACAACGAGTTAACTCAATTACAAACGGTCCTGATCGATCTAGCTGATCAGACCTTTAAAAAAAGTCATGGTGCTTGGCGCGTGAGTTGGGTGATCTTATCACGTCTATCGTTGTAAATCAATTAAAAACTCATGGTGCTTGG